ATTAACCTTAATTAATTAATTATCGATAGTGATAGGTTAACCATAATTAACCTATCATTATCGATAAGCTAAATTAACCTTCAGAGTTCTAGTATAATGAATGTATTTTATTTTCAGTTCGATTCTATTATGTCTTTTACTTTAATTTATATGTTTTTCACTTTAATTTATAAGAATTACCGAATCAATCCAGTGATTTGATTCGAATCATTAAATCAGTGATCACCTGATCAGTGCCTGAGGAAGGCGTTGTAGCTCCCCGGCGAGACTGAAAGCGGAGCTCTTAACTCAATTTTGGAAAAGAAATTTTTAAAAAATTCTTTGAACTGTCTTACTGGTGTTGCCATAATGTTGTAGAGAAATGCTTTTTTATTTTAAATTACAGTATTTCTATCAGAGAATTATAAAATCTATATCAATTCTAATTATTGATTTGGGAAACATGTAAACAAGAGAAATTACAATTGATGCATTCAAAATTTAAAGAGAAAACCGTTAGTTTATTTAATGAGAATATCACCTCAAGTATTTTAGAATTAATATTTATTATAGGTAATGTTTTTAAGAAAATAATCTTTTATGACATACGAATATGTAAGCCTAATCACTAAAATATTTTTTTTTTTTTCGTGCTTTAGCAGTTGCAAACAGTTTTATAGACTATACAAAATCAGTTGCTTTTTCTATATACATTATTGTTGCAATTTTCACTCAATATGGCGTCATTTTGAGAAAATATGGTATTATAAAAAATAAAAAATATAGCTTTATAAATGTTTTTAAGCATTCATAAACTCATTCAGGCATTCGACTATTCACTGAAATGTCCTTCAATAATTCACCCATAAACAAATTTACTGCTATTTATTGCTGACTCGTATTAATTTTCCGATCCACTGATTGGCATCTTTTCATTCCTCATTCTTACTTAATTCACTCGCTGTATCTAAAATTGTGTTCATATTCGACAAGCGTATTCGTAATAAATTGTTTACAAAATATACTATCTTAAAAATAGTAGTTCGAAATTAATTAAAAATGACCTATAAAACACATTATTGAAAGAATGGATAGTCGTCATAGTAATATTGAAATGTTAAATAATTATTCCTATCATATAACTTTTGAGAAAGATTAGATATTCTCTACTGAGACTAATTTTGATACATAAAATTATTTATCAAAATAAATAAATAAAAACCTACGTATTACGCTTTATGCAACAATAATAAACGATTTGATAAATCAGATGAATAAAGAAGTTATCGAGTCCGTTGTTAGCAAATATTTTTAGAGAAAAAAAGTCTTACTTTAGTTTCCAAGAAAAATCTTTTAATTATTTTAAGTCTATATCAAAGAACAAAAGATGTAAAATATTGTAAAAGTGTGGATATGTTCATGTTAACTTAAAATTTACTAAGACCTTGGTAACTATCTTGGAATTTGAACTTTTGCTCTTGTTAATAGTCCTACTTTCTCAAAAAATCCGAGATTTGGCTTTAAAACTTAACATTTTTATACGAAATAGAAGCATTTTCCACATAAAATATTAAGATTTGTATCAGAAAATCAGGCTCAATTGACACAAAGTTTGGGCTCATGGTCACTCTCCAGAGTCACTTTCCCCACCCCCCTCTTTTTCACTCTTTTTCTCTTGCATTTGAGAATATTGGCTTGTTTGTTGGATGGTTTTCTGATCCATAAATCTCTACAGAAAAGATCCACCCTGGAAATTACGGAAGTCATTGTATTCAATGTCAAACAAGTGGTTTTTCTGCAGCACACTCTTCTCTCCATCTTTAGGTAAAACTTTTACTTAGAAAACTTTAACCATAAAAAAGGTAACCTAAGAATATATAATTAGTAAAAAAATAACTAATAAAAATACTTTTACAGCAAACAATACTTTAAAAAGGATGAAATAAATAATTTACACAACATTAAATCTTGGTCTCGTACGGCGCCCCTCCCTAATTGGTGCTCCGGGCAATCGACAGCACCTTTCACCGGCTCTACACCCGGTCAACGCACTTCCATTTACCGTTTGGAGAACCTCCTTCTCAGTGTAATAATTGTAACGTTCCTCTCACCATTCATCACATTTGTATAATATGTCGATGTTTCAGTCAACATCACATCTCTTTTTTTTTCAAGTTTTATTTTATGCAGACAGTTGTATATTTGTTGGATGACATTCATCTTCCTTACAATTTTGCAATTTTACATACTGTTTGTATTCTTAACTGTATATATAATTGTTGGAATGCATTTACAATTTTATTCACTTTTAGATACATCCAACCATTTCAGTACCGTTTCATATATTTCGTTTATTTTATATATTGTGTCATACATTTTATCTGATTTTATTAACTTACTTGTACCATTTTATCAAATTCGATCTTACGATAGTTAAAGTGCAGCATGTACCTATTTTAACGCATTGTTTGGCTCAGCATGTCCTTTTTTGGACATAGTGGCATTAAACCCTATATTCAATTTGTCTTTCTTTTTAAAAATTAGAAATATATTATTTTTACGCGAGGTACAAAACTGTGCTATCAACTTCTTATACCTTCTATTAAAAAAAAATTTAATGTTTTTTCTCCAAAACGTCCAGTTTGGTGTTGCCATTATATTGGCCGTAAGCACTTCAGACTTATGTAGTAATATACAATCTCATGTCAAGTAAATTTGGAATTTAATTTATATTGTTTAAAGTTTAATAGTAGTAGTTTGGGGCTGGGATAGCCTGGTTGGTAGGGCATTGGGATCATGTCCAAGAGGTAGTGGGCCGAAGACATTTATAAGTAGAGGCTGTGTAGTAATTGGTGACTGATGCACGTTAATCTGTCGAGTCACATAGTTCTCCATATTCCCATAACAAATAATATCTCTGGGTGTACTGATCCAGGAGTTCACCTGTCTTCTGGATTGGTTCAAAATTACAAAACTACGAAGTTGAACAGAAGTAGTAGTAAACCCAAAGCTGGGTCGGCTGAACAACGATGGTTATGAAATATAAAATGAAGTGAAAAAGTCAATGCCAGGGCTGGGCTCGCACCGACCACGGTGCTGACGTAAACTGTCCTCAGTGGTAGACAGATCATGGGTTAGAGTCCCCTTGCCGTCAGGCTTGCCGTGGGAGGTTTTCGTGGTTTTCCTCACCATGTAACGCATATGCGGGGTAGTTCCACCAGAAAGTCCTCCACGAAGGCAAAATGTCTCCCAATACTTGATCCAAGAGTTCCCTTTGTCTGCTGGATTGGGTTCAAAATTACAAGGCTACGGAGTTTAACATAAGTAGCCGTGAACCCAAAAAAATTGGTTCTGCTGTTTAACGACGGTTCTGAAATAAAGTAGTAGTAGTTGAGTTGTAAATGCATGTTTGTAATAGACATGATAGTGTTATTCAGATGCATTACTTCTTCTAAAAATTGTTAAAAAAAAAAACGAATTTGCCAACACGTTTTTTTGCTCTCGAAAGCACGAAAATTAGCCTCGTATTAATTTCACAACTAAGCCGGCCAGGTGGCAGAGCGGTTAGCGTGCCTGACTGCGAAGCCATAGGCTGCGGGTTCGAATCCCGCTCTGGGCATGGATGTTTCTCTCTCTCTTTGTGCTGTCCTCTGTTGTGTGTATGATGTGTGAATGTGGCCCGCCCTATAAACGGGTTTGTGGCAGTGTGGCGTGGGCAATGTTGCTCGCCTCCGTGACTTTGGTTCACAGGTGCCCACTGGGTAACGCGAAATGAGCAACANTAACTTTTGGGAAGGATTAGGTATTCTCTACTCAGGCTAGTCTTGGTAAATAAAACTATTTATAAAAGTAAAAAATGCACGTTAAATCTGTCGAGTCACATAGTCCTCCATGTTTCCATAACAAATCACACCTCTGAGTGTACAGATCCAGGAGTTTACCTGTCTTCTGGATTAGTTCAAAATTACTAAGCTACGAAGTTGAACATTAGTTGTCGTAAACCCAAAGTTGGGTCGGTTGTACAACGATGGTTATAAAATATAAAATGAAATAAAATAATAGTAGTAGGAGCTGTGATGGCTCAGGTGATCGAGCGCTCTCCTCCCAATGAGGTGATCCGGGTCGATCCCAGCGATAGCTGGTCAATTCAAATTCCGCACCCAGCTCGCACCGACCACGGTGCTGACGTAAAATATCCTCAGTGGTAGACAGATCATGGGTTAGAGTCCCCTTTTCATCAGGCTAGCTGTGGGAGGTTTTCATGGTTTTCCTCACCATGTAACGTTAGTTCCATCAAAGAGTCCTCCACGAAGTCAAAATTTCTCCCAATACTTGATCCAAGAGTTCCCTTTGTCTTCTGGATTGGGTTCAAAATTACAAGGCTACGGAGTTTAACATAAGTAGCCGTGAACCCAAAAAATTGGTTCTGCTGTTTAACGACGGTTATAAAATAAAATAGTAGTAGTTGAGTTGTAAATGCATGTTTGTAATAGTCATGATAGTGTTATTCAGATGCATTACTTTTTCTAAAAACTGTTAGAAAAAAAAACGAATTTGTCACCACATTTTTTTGCTCTCGAAAGCACGAAAATTAGCCTCGTATATAAGTTAAATGTTATTTTTTCAAGAATCTTATAATTCTTTAAGCATTCAAATTAAGCGATTTACTATTTGGTTTTCAACTTTGAAACTAAAATGAATCATATGCAGCAAATAGTTTGAAAATGCCGTAGCTTAGCAATATACTTTTTACGTTTTTTTTTTCCCTTCCTTTTCCTCTGGATTTACTTCCCAAATTTTTAAAGTGTGTTAAGGTAATTTAAACGATTAACTTCAATTTTGAAGGAATGGAACGACATTGCTGAAAAAAATAAAAATAAAAACTTAATCGAATCGTTTAAAACTTTTCTCATTTCTATTCTAATGCAGAAGAAAATAATTACTCTGCTTTTGAAAAATAAATAAATAAATAAAATATTCAACCAGTTGATAATATTATGACATGATTTTTTCTTTCTCAGGAAAGTTATTCTCTAAAATCGAATGATGGATAGTAAAACAGAATTTCAAAAGGAAGAAAAAGACAAGAACTTGCTGACAGATTTACCATTAAAAGATGAGTCTGTTAATAAGACGAAAAAGAAGAGAAAAAATAGAAAGTCGAAAGCTGTTGAAATTCTTGAACTGAAAAATGAAGGTAAAGAAGAAAATCTACAAACAGGTTCACTTCTGGAAACCGAGATTAATCAGGAGAAAAGGAAGATAACCGACGAATCTGATGAATTTCAAAGAGAAATAATGGAAGAAAATTTACAACCACGGAGTGAATCCAATAAAAAGAGAAGGAAGAGGAAAAGCAGAAAGAGGAAATCTGCATCGGTACTAATGAAAGTAACTAATGAAAATGAACATGACAGCAGTGACCCAGTCTCCGCAACTAACACTGGACAAGTTAATCCTGGAAGCTATAATAAAAATAAACAAAATAACAAAAAGTCAGTAGTAACTGATGAAGATCCGGTAGCATTGACGCATGCAAAAATTTCCAGTAAAGACCCAGCAACTTCGAAGCATTATGATCTGAGTAGTGACGACTTAGCAACTTTTGAAGTAATCTACGGAGACGAAGTATCTTCGGAGTATGACGTCGACTTAGCAACTTTCGAAGTGATCAATAGACCATCCGATGAAGATGTAACTTCTGAACATGATGATCTGATTAGCACAGTAGCTTCTGACCAGGTCGGTGAACACCCAGTAGCTTCTGAACTGGTCGGTGAACACCCAGCAGCATCCGAACACGACACATTTTCTTGTGAAGGTTCAGTAACAAATGAAGATGCTGAACCTTACACTGAAAGCCCAATTTCTTCAGATCATAGTGAACTTACCAACGAAAGTCTAGAAGCTTTTGAAAGCGAGGAACTGACCTGTACTGCACAAGAAAATGTGCACCCCAGAGTTACAAATGAAGACTTTGAAACTTTTGAACATGATGATCCTTCTTTCGTAGATCCGGCACTTCCTGATAGTATCGAAACTTTTGCTGAAGGTCCCCCTACTTCTGAACTGCAAGAACTGACAGAAGGAGATTCACCTGCTATTGAGAATGAACGAAATGAACTGACCATTGAAGGTTCATTCATTCTAGAATTTCATGAACAAAGCGACTGTAAATTGAATGAAGAAAGAACTGTCGGCAATATAGGGTAATTTGATATACAGTTTTTTTTGTTTAATAACTTTTAGTTTATTTGTATATAGTTAGAAATTTTCAGATGCATAATTTTAATTTTAAATTTTAGGTCATTAACTAAATATCTTTCTCGATTCTAGTATTTCATATTCTTTGTTCAATTGCTTATAATAATTGTTTTATTTTTTTTAAAAAAAAATTTGCATACCTTTAAATTTAAAAGATTAAAACGATTCTGTCATTTATATGCACAGTTCCACATTTTTAACGTTTTTAATAGAAAATATACCCTAACTAAATATATAGCACGATTTCTCTAATTTTATGAATTATTCTTCACATATTTATTTATTTATTGCAAGCATAAGATTGTAACAATTGCAATAATCAATAATCTATAAGCATAGTCTATGTTTTGAATAGGTATGCTTAGTTTTTTTTATTTATTTATAATTATTATTTTTATTTTTCGTATGATTGAGGGCAATTAATGTTTTTCAAAAATGAATTATGTTTTGACATTTATTTGAATAATACAAAATTTTAGATCGCAATTAATTTTGAGAAAAGCAGATGGTTATTTAGAATTTAAATTAAATTAAATTGATCCTAACGATTAAATAGGATAACAATGATAGTGCTTGAAAACATTATAAAGCAAGGGGAAGACTTGTTACTTGATGAAGGAAACAATAAAAAAATAAGTTTGCTGCACATTCTTTGAGAAAAAATTCGTAGCCCCGCCGATTAAAAATTATAGTAAAAGTGATGAACTGAGTATTACATATAGGCCAAAGTAAGAAGTGGTAAAATAAATAGCTCTAGGACTACTGATAACTTTATTAATGAGCTTTATCAGCACTTGAAAGCTTATCTATCTTTTTTTCTCCAATAGACACACGACTGATTCTAATATCCTTGTTTCTGATGAAAGATCGCATCTTGAAGATCATCTTAGTTTCCCTTCCTATACAGCTACTACAAACATTGAAAATCAAAATAGAAAATCTTCCAGTGGGGAAGTTATACAACCTACAATAGCTGATATCCTCGTTCCTGATGAAATGCCTTCCACTACACTCAAAGATGAAGATCACCCAAGCTCCCCTTCCTACACAGTTGCAAGCATTATACAACCTACACCTGATATAATTGTTTCTAATGAAATGCTTTCCTTCACCCTCAGAGATCAAGATCATCTTGGCTCCTCGTCTTGTGCAGCCACAGACAGTAAAATGCAATGCAGTAGATCTTCCGATGAAGAAGTGCCACAAACTACAGCTGTTATCCTTTCTAATGATAGCTCTTCCACCACCCTCACAAATGAGGACAATCCTAGCTCCCCTTCCTACACAGCTGCAAACATTACACAACCTACTACACCTGATATAATTGTTTCTAATGAAATGCTTTCCTTCACCCTCAGAGAGAAAGATCATCTTGGCTCCTCGTCTTGTGCAGCCACAGACAGTGAAATGCTATGCAGTAGATCTTCCGATGAAGAAGTGCCACAAACTACAGCTGTTATCCTTTCTAATGATAGCTCTTCCACCACCCTCACAAATGAGGACAATCCTAGCTCCCCTTCCTACACAGCTGCAAACATTACACAACCTACTACACCTGATATAATTGTTTCTAATGAAATGCTTTCCTTCACCCTCAGAGAGAAAGATCATCTTGGCTCCTCGTCTTGTGCAGCCACAGACAGTGAAATGCTATGCAGTAGATCTTCCGATGAAGAAGTGCCACAAACTACAGCTGTTATCCTTTCTAATGATAGCTCTTCCACCACCCTCACAAATGAGGACAATCCTAGCTCCCCTTCCTACACAGCTGCAAACATTACACAACCTACTACACCTGATATAATTGTTTCTAATGAAATGCTTTCCTTCACCCTCAGAGATCAAGATCATCTTGGCTCCTCGTCTTGTGCAGCCACAGACAGTGAAATGCAATGCAGTAGATCTTCCGGTGAAGAAGTGCCACAAACTACACCTGTTATCCTTTCTAATGATAGCTCTTCCATCACCCTCACAAATGAGGATAATCCGAGCTCCTCTTCCCATACAGCTGCAGACATTAAACCACAATGCAGCGGGCCTTCTTCAAATGAAAAAGTCATGCCTGAACCATTAGGACTTTTTAGTATGCTTGTAGCAGTATTAGTGTTTTGTTTAATAGTATTCTGCCATGCTTTTTGTGCTTCATTTTTAATATTTAAAAAACCCTCTCCTCAGAAGCGGGCCAATAAGCAGAAAATTAATTCTGATGAGGCCCATAACTAGAGTTGCCAAAGGTAACGCTTTTTATTAAACTGTGATAAAATGTATATAAATAAATTGTGTTCTTAATAAATTATGTTATTATTTATTTAGAAAGTTATATACTTTCAGAGTGCATAAAATTATCCTTCTAAATTATTAATTTTAAAGCAATATAATCAATGTTAATGGAATAAACTATTTTTATAGTAATAATTAAAATGTAACAATCCCCAGCATTATATACCGTATGATATTGATGGCAAGAAATGAAAATATAAGAGAATGTAAAGAGCAACTTCGGCAAATAAATTAAGTATGAATTAGTGTGTAGTAATATCATGACGACTTGCACTTGAATTGATCTTCGATAAATACAGAGGCGCTTCTAGTCTTAATTTATCGAATGAAATTCTAATTTTACTAAATCATCATTGCACATATACTTTTCTAACTATCTCTCATCTTATAAAATACAACAAAAGGTTTCATAATTTTGTATTTAGTCGCAGTATCAGGATATTAGAAGCAGTTTTGGTTAAGTTTAGTCCCTTAATTTGTCAAATACTCTGGATAATGCTAAAGGCAAAAAAAATTTTTTTTTGCCTGAATGAAAAACTTTTTTCATGCAACTTATGTCATTCTGTAAGCTCGTATAGTTCATCTGGAAATTAATTCCTAAGTGTGTGGTGAATAAATTGTTGTAAAAATAACTCATTAATTCCTTTTTGTAGAGAATTAAAAAAGAAAAACTTTTCATTGTTAAGATCCCTTTACAAGTACACAGTATTTATATTTTATTAAACGCAATAATTAATATTTTATAAAGCAATCTTGTTTTTTGATATAACAAATTTAATTTTTAAATTTTTTTTTTACAAAAATTGTATTTGCGAAGGAATAAAAATATTTTATTAATGAACCAATCACAAAAAATAACGTAACACATTAATACCATGTTTTATTGGAACGCTATTTTGAAGAATTAATTCTATTTAACTTTTATTGTAAGAAAACATAACCTGTTTTATTTTAGTGATATTCTCTATTAAATAAATCGAAAATCACTTTCTTTGCAAAAATTTGATTGGAAGGTTAAAGTAAGTGCTCCAAATATCCAAACTCTAATTATCTAAAAAAAGAAAAAAAAAAAAAAAAAAAAAAAANAAAAAAAACAGTATTCCAGTTTTTTCACAAAACCAACCTGTTTTCTTCAACCTTTCTATTCCTATTATCAACAAAGCACAAAAGGCCATGTAAAACAATGTTTTAAGACAAAAGACAATGTGAAAATTCTAAATAAGTAACAAACTTTACGATATAATAAAATGATTTAAATAAATTAAATTACTTACTTAAATTCAAACATTATTTATAGGCTGTCCACTACGCGTTGCCACTTGTCTGATCACCATTGAGAAAACTCACTAACTTTTATTTTACAGCTCATAAGTCTAATTAAGATAAAGAAAAATATTCCGATTAAGAATTAATCGGAAGGGTGTTATGTGAGTTTTTATTTTTCTGATGATTTCGTTTGAGTTTCGTTTCTTAATTTGTTATTTGTATTGCATGTTCTTTTCCTGGACTTCTATACAAAACCATCGGGGTACTGATGGAGTTAATTTAAGCATTTGCTTCTCCCTCAATTAGAAATGGTTTTGTTTTTATGGCTACCGAGGCTTTTATCCCCTGAAGACGTCGGCTTCGGTGGTCATATTTTTATTTCCTTCGTTTTCTTTATCGGAAGGGTGTACTTGTTTATTTTTAAGTAAATTATCAAATTTTGGCAAGATAGTCGACACCGCAGGACGAAGCTAGTTAAAAATTGAAATGTTGCCTTATACAAATATTTCCTAGAAAAAAGTAAATGAAAGTTTACGGCAGTTTCGGAAATCGTTGAAAATTGCGTCAAAGTGTTTTCGTTTTCTTTTTCCTTTGTATTATTGTCTTGTCTTTGTCTGTTTTAAAATTGTTTGAGTAAAAGTATTTGGTAATTGTAAAGTTATTATCGTAAGTTTTAAAAAAAAAAAATCTAAATTGTTAAATTTTTGACGACCCCTGCTGCAAGCCCAGAAGTTCAAAAAATGTCAAACAAAATATTATTTAAAAAAAAACTTAAATGTTAACTTATTCAAGCTCTTTTTAATAAAATATGAAACAAAAGTTCAAAAAAAGAAATTTGATTTTAGATATTTTTAATGTTTTTCGTAACAAATTTCATTCCTAAAATATTTTGTAATTTTTTAAAGAAAAATGATCAAGTGTATTTAAGTATAATAGAAATAAATGAAAAATAAAAATATATTTTTGTCTTGAACGTTCTAAATGATAAAATTTTTGCAATTTCAAAAGATGAACTGAAAAAAATAGAGAAAAGTAATGAAAACGTTTCTTAAATACGCATCTAAAGTTACCTGCTACTTTATAATACAGTACAGAACCCGTTATCCGGAAATCAGAAAACCGGAAAACCAAAAAACCGGAACGGAATTCGATAATTTTTCCCGCCATTTTTAAAAAAAAGTTTTTTTTCCTTATAAGATTTTAGGATTTTTTCTTTTTCGAAAGATGTTTTCCTTATCATCATTTCGGAAAAAATCATTAGTGTATTCCTTCATCGTTTTTTCTTCTCTTTAAGATTATTTCCAAAAAAAAATTTTGCAACGCCTACCTTGTTAGAAGTCGCATAAGAAGTCTAACTTCAAAAATATATATATTCTATTCTTCCAAGAATATGTTCCAATTAATTTCGAATTAAATTGTGCGAGAAACTAATTCACTTATTCGAATTCTAGTATGAAACTTCATATTTGTGAGGGAAAAAATTACATTTGTGAAATATATTCATTTAAAAATCTAAACGCAGTAGCGCGACAGCCCATAGAGAGCCAAGGCCTACTGTGCCCATCTCAGTTATATATTCATTTAATAAATAAAAATGCACTATAATAGGAGATCGAAAAGGGCAACAGGTGGCGTAGAGCAGAACTCTCTGCCTATGGCAACACTTCGCATACTTTCATCATTAGGGTGAAATATTATGTGCTTATGCGCATCGTATTTTTAGTTAAATAACTTACTTATTATATATCAGTTTGAGTTTTTTTTTTTTTTAGTTTTATTGAAATTACATACATTTGCTGACTTGTGTGCTCAATATAGGCTTATAAGTCATTGTCAAGTAGAAAATACAGATAGAACAATTCAGAGAAAGACATCACAAAGAATACATCCAGGGTTACGGCGGGATTCGAACCCGCTACCTCCACGCTTAACAGAGCGTTTGGACCGGCGATACCGCTCGGCCAGGGAGGCCCCTATCAGTTTGAAGATGGCAACGAGAAGAGTTTTAGTGGTTGCCATGGTAAGTTTAGAATGTAAATAGTTTTTTTGAGAGAGTTTTTGAGTAAGAGATTTGTTTTTTTTGGAACTGCGATGCTGTAATTTTATTGTTTAGTTAATAAATCTTCCTTTTATATTAAACGTAATAGTAGAGTTTTAATTATTTGATTCGAAGTTTTATTTGAGGTCAGTAAGTATTTTGTATTTTTTGACATATGGCGTCAGGACTTTGAATTTCTGTTCAGATTTTAGAAAACGACTATTACTGAATCTGAGTGAAAATGGAAGTATGAAGTATTGAGTATGAAATGGAAGTATATTTTACACAGCATCGTAGATTGTTTACTCAGTCATGCAATGATTTTGCTGAAATTGAGACTGAAATGAACGATGAAGAGAAATTGTTGAAATTAAGAATCATATCAGAAAAAGGTAAGCAATTACATGTATCTGAAGAAAATGTTAGAACTGAGTTGTTTTCGGAAGTTCGAGATGAAAAAGAAATTGTGAGATCAGAATATTGGCGACCATGATAAATTTCTTTATTTATCGCAATCCATGTTAAAAGGATCACCTGCTGATGAACTTTTACAGAGTTTTCCTCCGAGTGGAGAGAGTTATAAAACTGCAATTAATCAACTTAGAACTCGGTATGGAAAACATGAATTGTTGATTCAAGTGTATGTGAGATAGTTATTAGCTTTAGTATTACAGAAACAGAGCAAATTGGAGAAACCTCTGCGGAAACTTTATGATCAACTTGAGTCAAAACTTCGATCATTAGAAGTGTTAGGGAAAAATATGCGGCAATTTGTTTCCTCTAATCGAGTCATCAATTCCAGAGGAAACACTCAAAGCATGGGAAAGATATCGGACTATAAATAAACGGTCAATTATTCATGTTGCTCCAAATGTTGAAGGAGCTGAACCAACTACCAAGACTGAGTTGGATACTTTGCTAGAGTTCTTAGAGGGAGAAGTAGAGAATGAAGAGAGAATAAACATGGCATCTCAATCCTTAGTGAGAGGTACAGATAATAGTGAGAAAGGAAGAATTCCCATGAATGGTAGATTCCAGTTGAAACAAAAATTTGGTAAATCTGCACAAGTACCTTCCACTTCTGAATTGCTTACTTCACCCCATGAAAAGAGAAAGTGCCTTTTTTGTGAAAACCAGCATAATTCTTGGGATTGTGAACATGCAAAAAAATGAAGTTTGAATGATAGAGAAACTGCTGTTGCAAGATCACGTTGTTGTTTCTTATGTTTACGACCAGGGCACCGAGTAATAAATTGCAGACGGAAACCATGCTTTAATTGTGGTAAAAAGCAGAACATACTTCTTTGCGAAGGAGTTGCGGCCAGTAATGAAGTTCAAAACCCAGAGAGTAAGGCAACCGAAAGTGTCGTTGGCGATAACGTCTTAACTAGCCAGTCTCTTCATTCTGAAGTTTTATTACAGACTCTAGTCCTGCGCATAAGAAATGGAAATAAAGACAAACTTGTGAGAGCTATTATTGATACAAGCTCTGAGAGAACATACATTACGAGAGACGTAGTCAAATATTTGGGTATAGAGAAATGCGGAGAAATTATGTTAGTACACAAATTGTTTGGAGGTGTATCATCAGGTGAAAAGTATCATTCTCAATGGAAAGTTACTTTAGCGAGTATTGATAACAAATTTAATTGTAAAGTACTTTGCTTAGATCAACCTGTGATTTGTGATTATGTCAAACGCATCCCATATGGTCCATGGATAAAGAAGTTGAATGAATATGGAATTTGTGTGAATGATACTGAGTACAGTTCTCTAGAAGTATCTAATGACGTCAAATTATTACTTGGAGCTGATGTGGCTGGCAAGCTTTTCACAGGCAATGTAAAGTGTTTGATTGAAGGTCCTGTTGCCGTTGAGTCACATCTAGGGTGGACTCTTATGGGGAAGATACCTATAAATGATATTGCTGGGACGACAAATTCTTCTCTTTCATTGCTTTTGACTGAAGCATCTGTGAATCAACTGTGGTCATTGGATGTTAAGGGAATCACAGATCCATCTGCGAAGAAAGTGCAGGCAGAGTTGCAAAGAGCTACACAAGAGTACTTTTTGGAGACAATCAGACTAGATGTAGAAAACCGTTTTGTGGTTAGCATGCCTTGGCTGGAAGATCATCCTCCATTTGCCAACCAACTATGACCTGGCGTATAAAAGATTGAATTCGACTGTCAACCGCCTAAAATCGCAGTCGATTTATAAATAGTATGAGCAAGTTTTTAATGAATGGATGGAGGAGGGAATAATAGAAGAAGTAAAGAATAATTGTGAGGAAAATGTACACTACCTACCTCATCGTGCAGTTATAAAACCGAATAGCACCACCAAAATTAGACCCGTATTTGATGCTTCAGCTAAGGCCAAAGGTTTTCCAAGTTTAAATGATTGCTTAGAGAAGGGTGAAAATCTTATTGAATTGATACCTAGCATTTTGATGTGGTTTAGGACTGAGAGAATTAGTGTCGTTTCAGACGTACGTAAAGCCTTCTTACAAATCGGACTTACTGAAACTGATAGGAATTACTTAAGATTTTTATGGCTTAGTGATGCAGGCTTGAAGGTTTACAGGCATTGCAGGGTAGTATTTGGAGTAACCTGTAGCCCATTTTTGCTATCCTCAACTATCAAATACCTTCTTATGAATGTTTCGAAAGAAATAAGCGAACGAAAAGCTACTTATCCTGAATATGTTGTACAAAAACTAATGAAAAGTTTTTATGTGGACAATTGTGTGACGAGGGTCAAGGATACAGAAGAATTGAATATGTTTGAAAGAGTTTCTACTGAAATAATGGCAAGTAGAAAATTCGATTTTAGAGGGTGGGAGTACACCGATTTAACCGAGGAAAATTCACAGCCACCTACAAATGTTCTTGGTATGAGTTGGGATAAGAAATATGATACTCTTCAAGTGAGTACAGGTTGCATTAAAGAGCTTAACATTGAGAAAGTAACGAAAAGAACCATCCTGTCAGCTGCACATAGACTTTTTGACCCCTTGGGTATGATCTGTCCTGTAACGTTGATCCCAAAATTGCTCCTTCAGAGCATTTGGAAGTTGAAACTGAATTGGGATGATGATGTTGATGGAAACATCAGAAGAAACTTTTTAAAATGGATTGAAGGTGTACTGTACATTGAGAAAATTAATATTCCAAGATATTTTGGACTGAGTGGAGCCAAGAAGTCTTCCATTCATTTCTTTTGTGATGCAAGTAAATTGGCCTATGCCAGGGGTGGCGAACCTTTATGCACCAGCGTGCCATTTTTTCAAAAAACCGTTTAATGAGGTCATAGACGTGCCGTCAAATAATTTTGACTTCGTGATTATTGGGAAAATAATAATACTAAATACTATCAACTCATAACTCTTTATTAACTACGAAAAAAAAAACTTTTTGCAATGTCTCAGTTATACACGTAATTTAACTTAAAGTAATATTAGTGTGACTTCTGTTGTTTCAGATTAAATGACAAATAACTTATATTAGGTTGTAAGATGCTAGTTTAAGCAGGACTGTCAATTTTTGTTTTTTTGCTAGTTATTTATTGTTAGCTTGTTCTTTATAGTTATTGTTTTGTTGGCATTAATTGTAAATGTTTTTCTTTATAATTGTTTATTTTATTTATTTTTTTAAAAATGTAATTGTTAATATGCTTTATAGTGAACTTTGTGATCAGTGGGGTGCCCAGAATATTGTGTAGCGTGCCATAAATAGCACGCGTGCCATTGGTTCGCCACCCCTGGCCTATGCTGTGGTTGTTTACATTAGAGTGGAGTCTGAGAATAATGTACGAGTTCAATTACTACAGGCGAGAAGTAGAGTAGCCCCTACAGGAAAAGGAGAAATTACAATAGCACGACTTGAACTTCTGGCAGCAGCTATTGCATCTTGTCTTTCAACTTCAATTTTGTCTGAGGTAACTCATGATGAAGTGTTTTTTTCTCAGATTCCACAACTGTTTTGGCCTGGATCAAAAGAAGTGAACCATGGGCCATTTTTGTTTATAATAGAGTGCGTGAAACGTGAAATCAGAGAGCAGACTAATGTTAACACCTGGAGGCATGCTCCTGGGACGATGAATCCAGCTGATTCGCCAAGTAGAGGATGTTCGGTGCAACAGCTTCTGCGATTGCAACGGTGGGAGGATCTCAGTTGGTTGCACTTACCTCAAGAATTGTGGACTTCGTCTGAAGATGTCGTTAATGAGGAGGAAGTGAACTGTGAGAAAAGAAAAGGTGTCACAACCTCAATGATAAATTTTGAAGTGACTAAACTTTTGAGTTCTAATATTTCTGATAATCGAAAAATTGTACATACTATGGCGTGGGTGACGAGATTCCTTTTTAATTGCAAAAATGAAGAGAGAAGAAAAGGAGATCTTTCTGTAAAGGAATTAGAGGAAGCTGAGAAAACCACTGTATACTTGATACAACAGGAGTCATTTGCAAGAGTTTCAGATAAAAACCTTAAAACTCTAGATATAATTATTGATAAGAAAGGAATCTATAGATTAAAAACAATTGTATATAAGATAGATGATTTGGAAGAGTTTAGAACACCTGTTGTTTTACCAGGAGAGCATCCTATAGTAAAACGTTTAGTACTGTCTGAACATAAGAAAAGGGGACAAGCTGGTGATTCATACACATTGAATTCTCTTAGAGAAAGATTTTGGCGGCTGTGTGGTAAAGGAGAAGTAAAATCTGTATCGATATCTTGCGTAGTATGCAAGCGTTTTCCTGCCAAACCTATAGACCCACCAACTGCATCTCCACCAAGTGAGAGAGTTCAAGATGCAGCTGTTTTCCAAGTAAGGGATGTGGACTTTGCTGGTCCTGTGATTTTGAAAGACAATTCAAAGGGCTGGATATGTATTTTTACCTGTGCCGCTTATTTTACAGGGAGTGGACAAGTTGTTAAAAAGGTATGACAAACTATATTTATTAGAACTGCATAGTGATTTAAAACTTTAAATTTTGTTTCAAATTCTTGCAAGGTGTTATTTTTTACCCAAAAAATTTTTAAGCTAAGTAAGTTAACTTTGCTAATATTGTTAACTTAGGTGGGAGGATGTGAAATATTATGTGCTTATGCGCATCGTATTTTTTGTTAAATAACTTACTTATTATATATCAGTTTGAAGATGGCAACGAGAAGAGTTTCAGTGGTTGCCATGGTAAGTTCAGAATGTAAATAGTTTTTTTTGAGAGAGTTTTTGAGAAAGAGATTTGTTTTTTTTTGGAACTGCGATGCTGTAATTTTATTGTTTAGTTAATAAATCTTCCTTTTATATTAAACGCAATAGTAGAGTTTTAATTATTTGATTCGAAGTCCTTTGAGTTTTATTTGAGATCAGTAAGTATTTTGTATTTTTTGACAATTAGCGTGTAGAGAGTCATAGGAGAAAGAAATACGTTAGTTTCTGAATTGATTTTCAAATAGATTAAAAACTTTTAAGTTGGGAAACTGTAAGCCACTTTGGACATAAAAGAAAGAGTCATGAAAATTTGAAAAAATATTTGTGACAATTAAATACGGAAAATATTAAGAAACGGGAAAATATTGTAGTATCATATACAACTGATACAAAGAGGAGAGGAATGGAATAGAGGTCGATCCATGCAACCGGTCTTCTGCCCAGGTAGCGTATTTAAGTGCTGAGATTGCGTGAATTATCTTTAAATTCAGATTGTTGTTGTTAATTTACGTCGCACTAGAGCTGCACAATGGGCTATTGGTGACGGTCTTTGAAACGTCCCGGAGGATGATCCGAAGACATGCCATCACAATTTTGATCCTCTGTGGAGGAGATGCCACCCCCGCTTCGGTAGCCCGATGACCTACGCGCGAAGTCGAGCACTTTACGGTAGCACAGTTTAACGAGGACCAATACCGCGCACCCTCGGTCCCTACGCAGACTGATCCAAGCGGTCACCCACTCGCACACCGACCGCAGCCAGTGATGCTTGACTTCGGTGATCTGCTGGGAACCGTGTCTTAGCGATCAGTCCACTGCGGGACCTTTAAATTCAGAAATCTAATTCAATCCCAAAGTTAAAGACATACAATTCAAACGTTCGAAATGCTTTCACAAGCAAATTGCTGGGGGAAAGACGTTCATTTGTTGGGAGGCTCGAAAGCCCAAGACTACAGTTTTTAAATATGTGACAATGTGTGTGTTGTAAAAACATATGTGTCTGTTGTAAAATCTGTTGTGACAAGCAGGTTCTCATTCTCCTCAACTACGTAAATTTTGTTCAGTGCAAATGAGGCTTAAAAAAATTCTATAACTATAATTAGAAACATCCATAGTAATCGTAATCGCATGTTATTTGACATACTTTTAATCGAAATTTTAATCGTATTTTGTGTGAAATTCTTTTATTTACTCCAGCATTTTCTAGTTTACATTGTTTTATTAATAATGTGACACTTTATTTTCCTCAAATTTACTAAAAAATAGTAGTCATTAAACATGTGTATAGAATACAAATTTTATTGCACTTGCAATAATTGATGCTATGGCTGAATATTTTAGGCTTACCTGGTTAATCCTTAACGGTAATTCATATTTTGTTATTCCATCTATAAATGCCAAATTCAGATATAACTCTATGTTTACATTCTCCTTAAGTAAATGTGGTAAAATTAATTTATCTATTTCTCTCTACTCATTTATTGATGAATATAGTATTTATCGAGGACTCATAAATTACATTATGTCTGAAATTTGAGATTTTGAACCAGTGACATTTTAAAAATAATTTAATCCAACTTCCAGTGAATGCATTCATATGTATTAAAATCATATGCAGATGTATATGCATTAAGACGCTGATAAAGATTTTCGGGTAACAAATTATTTACGTGATGTTTTATTTTTGCAGATTGTTTATATTTTAATTAAAGAAAAATGAATGGATGTTAAAATATGCATTAAGATCTTATAATGTACTTTTAAAAATATCTCAGTGGTAAATATATTCGGGAGTCTTTCCAGGTTTTATTTTTTCACACCCATTTTTATGAAAAGAAAAAAATATATTGTGAAAATTTATTAATTAATGGAAACATTCACTTTTCGCAATTACTAGTATATTTTATGCTTAATATCAGTTTTAAAACAAAGCCTGCATTTATTTAATTCGTTTCTATTTTTGGGGAAATTAAGACAAAGTTTGCATTATTTAAAAAAGAAGTGCGTCTGTTAGTTAAAACGTTAAATTTTTTTTAAATAAAAAGTTAAGTAATTTTTTTTAAAACTCTTTCAGCGCATGTTCGTTTAATAATTTTTTAGGTAATCAGTATTTTTCAACCAATAAATCTTTAGTAGATTTTATTTTCAAAAAGGAAAAAAAAAAAAAAATAGATGAAACAAAAGTTGCATTTAATTTTACACTCTTTATGTATTTAATTTGACCATTACTCATTACAACTGTAGGTATTGTTTTAAGTAAATAAAAGATGGTCTAAAGATGTTTCAAAAGTGCATTTCTTCCCACAAATAATTAAAAAAGTGTTTTACTTAAGTAAACATTTCTTTGGTTGGTTTTTTAAGTTCGATTTTTTTTAAAATTTTTGTTTAAATATTTTTTTACAGTTTTCTTATTATTTTTAAACTATTAAATCTTGAGTTATTTTTTTAAAAAAAAGAAAGTTAAATAAAGCTTATGTTTGCTTTTACTTTAAGACGTTGGTCTGAAGTTTATCCATCTTTATTTATTATTTAATTTAATCTGAAAAAATTAAGCAATGCTATTGGTGTTATAGAAGCATTTATTTAGAATTAACATTTTCTTTTGACATAAATTTATTCCTTTTATTTATTTTTGATTGAATTAAAGATTGCTATGTAAATAATTTATTTTGTTGATTTCTAAAGCGTTTTTTGAGTGTATTAGTAGTAGTAATGGGTAATTTTCAAATTTTCAGGTAATGAATTGCTAGTTTCTAGCTCATTAAAGAAGAAACTTTTGCTATATTTCCAGAAATAATAGTTTAGAGGTTACTAATATGAAGTTGTCTTTAATATATTCTGGTACCTTATTTATGATTGCTATATTAATTTTATGGTGTTTAAGTGCATAAAACTCTTATTATTTACATAATCAAATGCTATTCTCTTATAGATTTTTATTTCATACTCATTATGCTGGATGACTTTTGAATTATGTCAAACAACATAATTTTTAATGTTCTATTTCAAAATTTTTGTATAAAATAAAAAATCAAATGCATACTACTTTTATATATAAATTTTTATTTTGAATATATTAATGATTACATTAACTAAAAACAATCAGAACATGGAGTTGGCGAATGTTTTATTTTCAGCATAGCATTTTGTTACAGATATTGTTACAAAGATTTTGTTACAGATTTAATACATTTTGTTACAGATATAATGGCTTAATTTAAAATTTTTCTTTGTAATTTAATTTAGATATTGCTATGCAATTTTTAAAAAAAAACACAATGATGCTTAATAAATTTTTAAAATTATATATTAATGTTTATTTAAAATATCAGGGTCAATTAAACTGAATGTTAAAAAAAATTTTAAAATCACAAAATTTAGTTAGATAACTATTTTTCTATGCATGGTATGTAAAGTAAATAATGTTAGTAATCACTGTAAATTTCCAGACTGTTTATCAATGTGCAATTTATTCAATCTCATATAAAAAGTAATTTTGTAGCAGGTTTTATATTTTGTTATTCTAATGAAAAATTGATGTTTCATTAGGTGCATAGTATTTTCTTGAAGAGAATATTCATCATGAACTTGAATTATGTTATTGTGGTTACTGTTTTAGAAGGTATGTGAATTCATTTAGGTATGTATTATATCTATTTTTGTATTATCTTAGAGCTTTGATATAATTAAAAATTTGGATAACTTTTTACGTTTTATTACCATTAATGACCATTCGCTTTACACTATTTGAATTTATTTTTATAATTTTTTTATTGAATTTGTTTTTATGAAAGAAATAACATTTTATTTATTTTTCAACTACATTATTATATTAATTAGAAAAAAACTTAATTTTATAAATGATTTGTTCTAAATTATTTTATTAAAAGATTTTTCTTCCTACAAAACATTTTTTATAATTACAGGAAAAAATTTTCCTAACCGCCATGACAAGTATTTGGTTGTTGATGCTAAATTCGATGGAGAAGTTATGTCGACTGATCCTGTAAACCATGTTATGCGTCCTTTTTTCAATACAGAATTGGGATGGGAAGTTGATAAAAAAGGTCTGCAAATGCATAGGCTTCAAAGATCACCTATAAAATTACAATGGTATGCTGTGGATTTGGATTTAACCAAAAAGGAAACTATTGGTTATATGGTTCTTGATATACGCTTGGCACAAGAGAAACTGGAGGTAATCTTCTATACGTGTTTGATTAAATTGTAGTTAAACTGAAGATAAAAATTACAGATAAATCCAAATTATTGAAGAATGTTAATTAGCATTTAATGAGTTAACATTAATCCTTTTTTAGATGGTCACTCAATTACCACCTTTGGATAAATTACCACACTTAGAAAAATGTTTATTTATTTAATTTTTTTTTTTAAATGAGTCGATCAAAGAAAAAAATGTAAAGACGAAATAAGAATGAAATATTTTCCAAAAAGAAAATGACTAATTTTTTCCAAAAAGAAAAGGACTATATTATATTATTATTATNAAAAAAAATTTTAAAATCACAAAATCTAGTTAGATAAATATTTTTCTATGCATATACCATTAAATAATCTAAAGTAAATAATGTTAGTAATCATAGTAAATTTCTAGACTGTTTATCAATGTACAATTTATTCAATCTCATATAAAAAGTAATTTTATTGCAGGTTTTATATTTTGATATTCTAATGAATTGATGTTTCATTAGGTGCATAGTATTTTCTTGAAGAGAATATTCATCATGAACTTGAATTATGTTATTGTGGTTACTGTTTTAGAAGGTATGTGAATTCATTTATGTATGTATTATATCTATTTTTGTATTATCTTAGAGCTTTGATATAATTAAAAATTTGGATAACTTTTTACGTTTTATTACCATTAATGACCATTCGCTTTACACTATTTGAATTTATTTTTATAATTTTTTTATTGAATTTGTTTTTATGAAAGAAATAACATTTTATTTATTTTTCAACTACATTATTATATTAATTAGAAAAAAACTTAATTTTATAAATGATTTGTTCTAAATTATTTTATTAAAAGATTTTTCTTCCTACAAAACATTTTTTATAATTACAGGAAAAAATTTTCCTAACCGCCATGACAAGTATTTGGTTGTTGATGCTAAATTCGATGGAGAAGTTATGTCGACTGATCCTGTAAACCATGTTATGCGTCCTTTTTTCAATACAGAATTGGGATGGGAAGTTGATAAAAAAGGTCTGCAAATGCATAGGCTTCAAAGATCACCTATAAAATTACAATGGTATGCTGTGGATTTGGATTTAACCAAAAAGGAAACTATTGGTTATATGGTTCTTGATATACGCTTGGCACAAGAGAAACTGGAGGTAATCTTCTATACGTGTTTGATTAAATTGTAGTTAAACTGAAGATAAAAATTACAGATAAATCCAAATTATTGAAGAATGTTAATTAGCATTTAATGAGTTAACATTAATCCTTTTTTAGATGGTCACTCAATTACCACCTTTGGATAAATTACCACACTTAGAAAAATGTTTATTTTTTTTTTTTAAATGAGTCGATCAAAGAAAAAAATGTAAAGACGAAATAAGAATGAAATATTTTCCAAAAAGAAAATGACTAATTTTTTCCAAAAAGAAAAGGACTATATTATATTATTATTATCATAGTCAGGTTGCTAAAGTATGTTAATTTTTTCCTCTAAGTATAATGTTGAATTTGGTAATAGAAAATTGTATAATATAAATGCTTAAAAAAGTGAGAGAGAAGTATTTTAAACCAATATTCTGCAGCTACTCTTCTCTGTTTAAGTATGAAAAGTTTTGTGCAATGTATCTGCTTAGTTTAACCACATAAAATTAGTTAATTAGTATTTAAAATTAGTTTATGTAGAAAGAAAAAAAATTACTCCAGAAATTTTTCTTCTGGTACTGCAATTTTTTTCTCAGAACATAATTCAGTAGTTTTAGATATGATGTTAATAGGTATATTTGCCAGCTTTTTATCGTTTGAAGCTTGATGATCAGACCCATTTCTTAAAAAAGAAAGAAAAATCTTTTTTTTTTTTTAATTTTTTTTATTTATATTTAAAACATAGCAACTTAATTCAAGAAATTTATTTATACATACACTCATACTCATAACCACAAAAATGAATTTATGCATTGTGCTCATTTGTTATTTGGTTTTTATAAAAATTTAGTAAACTTCGTGGTAAAAATTTGCGATTTCCGGAAAATTTACATATCTTTTTCAAATTAAATATGTTTCGTGCTTTTAGATTAAGCAGTGAAATATTTTTTTAGACACCAAAGTGGTATCCATTACTCAATTCTAAATATCAGAAAGAGAAACCTGAAGTTATGATGTCTTTATCTCTTGAAAAGTCTGTTGAAGAACCTCAAACTCCATCATCAACCCACAGTTATAGGAGAAATTCCTTGAATCAAGACAGAAATGTCTTCAAAAAACAGAGTATTAGTTCTAGACCATCTCCAAGGCAACCTCCAACCAAAATTCCTATTAATGTACCAAGCTCTAATCCCCATTTGGAGCCAGTACTTCTTGCTCAAGCTGGATTTTATCAAATTGGACCCTCTCAGTTGTGCAATGAAAAGTTTACTTTCTCCATTACTTTATCGTATGCAGCAAATCTAAATAAGGTAAATCTTGTGCTAATTTTTAATTGTGCTAATAATTAATTTTTGTTAATCAAAATTACATTTTTAAAATCGATCAGTGCTTGAAATAGTTGCGACTCTGTGGACTAAGTCCAGGCTTTCTTGGATGGATAAATTGTATAGGTATATCTTGATTAATGTTTATTTTTACAATACACAGATAATATTTATGTGACATTTTTATTTATTACAAATGCATAATAATTAAAACAACCTGCTTGTGAATCTGCCTGAATGAATTTAAAGTTTACAGTGATATACCTGCCAACTTGTAATCTCTCCAAAGATTATTTACCCCCAGTGGTAATTAGATTAAAAGTAAATTACATTCATGTGCGAAAATGTATTTTGTATTTGGCGTAAGCTTAAACCCACTAAAAAAAGATGATTATACATTTATATATATATGTGGAATTTATTTAAATATAGTGGTGGTCAAAATCATTTTGAATTTAATTTATAAATGCCAAGAATGAATAGCAAGCATACATTTTACTACAACTTTAAATGTAAAAATGAAATTTTACGCAAAATATGTAAAAGTTTGCTGGTATGCAATGATCAAAAATCTTTTAGTGAAATTAAAGTATATATTTTTACATGGTTTTTGTCAAGATAATATTTTTGAAATGTTATATAATGTGAGGCCAATATTTATAAATGTGTGCATATGTATGTATGAGGCCAATATTTAGGTATGTGGGCCAATATTTATAAATGTGAGGCCAATAACAGAAATGTATTAAATTTTTATTACTTGATTTCTTTTTTGTTAAATGTCTTATTTAAAAAGAAAAAAAAATTAGTTTAAAGAATTGGAAAAGATCAAATGCAATTTTAATTTTTGAATTAATGTAATGTTGTGTATGTAAATGTAATGAATCCTGTTTTTCTGCTTTTAAACTTTTTTGATTAATAGAACTGTTTTATTATGTTTTTAGTATTATAGCTGTTTTAGTATAATCATTCCGTAACAACAAAAAAAAAATCGGATTTTAATCTTTTTTCTTTTATTACTTACATTATAATTGTCTTAATTCTTTTCAGCTCTCCCCACCTGCCATGTTAAAATCTTCCAAAGGATTCTTTTTTTATTATTCTCTGTTTGACAATGATGTTACTACAGAGAAGTTTTCTAGTCTCAATGAACCAGAATTTCTTGCTGAACGAGCAACTGTTCAAATATCTAGTTCATCTGAAATTTTATCACAATATTTTGAGCAGCACCCAAGTTTAGAAGTAAATAACTTTTTGGATTTCTTGATAACTAACCTAATTAGTTCTATAAAGTTGAATGTTTTATTGTTTCCGTATCCTGATCTGTTACGCCAAATTGATTTTAATGGGGGGAAAACATATAGAGGTTTACCTGGGGGTGGCTACGAGGTATTTCTTTGAGTTGCTTCCTTTTTGTGACTAAGGAAGTTGTCAAGATTTTGTAATAATTCTGCCACAGATAAAGATATGGAAATCTCGTTTTATTTATTATAATTTTATGAGAGCTTCATTGAGACGTTTGGAAGTCAGTGTTTTTTAAATCTGAAATTTTATAGCTTTGTGATAAGTGCTTAATGGTTTTTTCTTTTTTTCTTTTTGTTGAAAAATTTAAAAAAGTGAACTAGTTTGTTTTTTTGTACATAAGTGTTCTTTAGTGTCTTTATATTGAGAAGAGTGGGAACTTTTTTCCAGAAGAAAATGTTAATAAACTTATAATTTTTAATTAAATAAAAACATCTTTTTTTTCTTACTTGCAAAATTATTAATAGCACATAATCAATATACAAAATCACGATTAACTTTCTTTTAAAAAAACCATTTGAACATTTGATTATTTTTGATGTCTGCATATCATTTTCATTCTTTGTAATGTTGCAATTTTTCCCTTTTATTCCTGAATTTATATATTTGACCTTGTAATATATTTTAATATTCTTTCATGTGCTTTCAAGTTGTCTATTTCTTTACTAAAACCTCTGAACTTGGGAAAAAAATTATAATCTTTCCAGTAAATATTTTTTCTATTTATTAACTGAATTATTGTTTACTGAACCATAAATCTGCTTTTCAAGGCCAGCCTGGATAAATGCTGTGAAACATTATATCTAATAATCAGAATAATGTTAATTTTTCTTTGTGCTAACTTCTATGTACATTTTTTATATTTTTCTTTGTGTGTCTATTTTTATTAGCCAACAAAATCATAATTAATATAGATTAAAAAATTTGCTATGTCCCGGTTATTAACAAGAAATATTCCTTAAAAATCTGGATTCTTGTTTTTTTTTCTTTTTTAGTGTGACAAATTCATTTTCTATCAATAAAAAGTGTTGTAACCTATGCTCTTAATTATTTGACGTTAAAGAGTAAGCAATACAGATGGAGGAAATTAAAAACTTACAATTCTACTTTTTTTATTATTTTAACCACATTTGTTTTGTTTTTTTTAAATTTAGCCCATTGAAAATTTTTTAAAATCTTGTATAATAAATTAGGTTATTTTGGTATATGAGCCACTAAAAAAGTTTCATTTTTATAAATTTTTAGTTGTAAACAATATTCTAAGTGAGAATTACTTGCATATGATTATCGTGCCAATATTTGTGTAATTTTTCATAGGTCATACTTTGTTGTGGTGATATTTCTTTGGGTTCTGGGCAAATTCCTTTGGGTCTTCTCTCTACCGTTAAAGATAGAGATAAAGATGAAGAACCACTTTGTATCGAAGGTAGTGTTCGGGTAAGGAAATGTTTTTAGTAACCACATTATTTTTTAAACTTCATTAACTTGTACTAGTTTTCACAATGAGTGTAAAGTTTTTTTTTTTAATTCTTAATTTTTCAAGTCTTTTTTAGAATGTTTTTTTATATCCTTTTTCAGATCAATCCATTGGAAAACACATCTCGAGTCGGAGGCGATGATCTTTCACCATTTATTAGGGTTTCAGTTGTCTTGCAATCTATTAAAGTAATTTAGTAATTTTTCATGTTCTTTTAAATTTTGAGGGTTATTTTTATGCATAAAATGATTGAGTTTATTTAATGTGTTTATGTGTAGTAAAGACATGTGATTCTTTCTAAAATTAGCACTTTTCTTTTTGATTTTTTTCATCTTGTTTTTAGAGGTATCAAAAGATAAACTTTTTGCATTGTATATTTTTAAAAATGCATAAAAAAACTAAACAAATAAAACTTAAAACCTGGAATATAAACATTGATGTCAACTGCTAGTATATAAGATTGTTCAAGTTTTCTAAGGGATTATTCATTCATCAATATTTTGTTAAGCTCTGAAAGTTGACCAACTGAAATGGTTAGTTTTGCCATCTAAGTATTTCTTGCTTATGTTAATTATTTTTATGTATTAAATCTTATGATTTAAACTTTATTAATAACATTCCCTTTTTCTAAGATAATTTAAAAAATTTTCAAATGCTATATATGTATAAGCAACATAATTATTGTGTTTAAAGAACTATAACTCGCTGTAAATCGTTAGATTAATTTTGATATTTTTCCTCTCATAAGGTAGCATTTTAACAAATTCATTAAGTTGTGCTGTAGATAAAATGAACTTCAACATTATTTTTCAAACTTTACTTTTTTTTTTGTAATTACAGGCTTGTTATTATTTTTATTTTCTAACTCTTTACTGTTATTCATGAGAGTAATATATATTCATGAAAGTAATTGATTTATTTATAAATTCACATATGTATTACAGTCGAACTCTTTTATAACGAGCTCGGATTTAACGAGAACTCGGATTTAACGAGTGTTAAATCTATGGAACAGAAGTTGCTTTTAACGAGCAAGACCCAGTTTTAGCGAGCATTATTTTTCTGTCTTGCAATCTTTTTTCTCATCTTTCTAGTCTTTCTGTCTTATCTTTTTTTCAAAATGATAAAGAAATGCGAGGGAAGGGGGTAAGTTGTCATTAAATTAAGAAAAGTATTTAATTAAATTAATTAATGTAATTAAAGTAAGTAAGTATTAATTAAATTTTAAGTAAACTCAATCATTTGACCTCCCAAGCCCCCCCCCCTTNTATAGCCAAAGCAAAATATATTAATACAATAGTGTGAGGAGCACTAAAAAAATTACAACAAATAAAATAGAAAACACTAAGTAAAAATATCACGTAAAAATAAAATATAAAGAAAAACCATAAAACATAATCTATAAAACGACTAGCGAATTCAAATGAACTTCTTACATGAACGGGAAATTTTTCAAGAATGATTTAAAATATTTTCGTAACAAGATTGCAAAATAAATTGTTTTTCTTTTTCTTTTTGTATTTATTTATTCAGGGCAGATTGTGCTCCGGAAAAAATCAGGATTTTTCGCTAACAGTGATCCGGAAATTGAAGGTCCAGACGTTTCAAAAAATCATTGATCACAGAAGTTTCCGGAAATCAAATATTCAAAGGTGGAACTTAGAAACACAGTTTATTTTGTTTGTTTGTAAGGCGGAGCCAGAGGGATACTTTATAAGCTTATATTCATGATTAATATTCATATTTTATCAGTAAATAATTTCTATAATCATTAACTCAAAAAAGAAAGATACATTTGTAAATTTTAATTACTTCTCCAGGTCATCATAAGTATGTGTTAATGGTATAGGTATGTGTAAAATTTTGAATATATTTTAAGTAAACTAAGAAATATTGAGAAAAAGGAAAAGAAACCTTGTTTAATTTTTTTTCTAATTTTTTTTCTAATTCTTTTTTTTTCGGAACTCAGGAAATGTTCTGGAATTTTGACTTAGACTCGCAATCACCCCTGGATAATGCAATCTTCTTGATTAGTTTGATAGATCTTAACTTTTGCTGTTCTGAAGCTTTTTAATTTAATAGGTATTTATTCAAAAATTAACTAAATTGCTGCAAAAAATCAGAAAAATACTATATTAAGGATGTAACCATTTATAGTGTGATATTCTTTCTGGTGAATCTTCCTTTTATCATAATATGCAGTTTTTTCTGTTATTTATCTATGAGAAGCTGCATTATGCTCATTGATTTATTAACTTATTTTGTGACTTATTAACTATTTTTTTAAAATTGTAACAGTTTAAATATTCATTTTGACTATTATTTGTGGTCAGTTGCTTTTTTAGTATAATAATATTATGACCTTATTTTTCTTGCTCCATATCTGAAGTTAAAGCAAAGATCATTGTATTAAAACTGTTATAATATATATTCTCATTTGGGTGTCCGATTGATTTTAATTGAATAAAATTTGATTCTACACTTGCTTTAGTGTGTGAGAGTTACATAGACTGTTTTGTGTCCTCTATATATGACTTTACAGATATTCTCAATATTATTTACGTACAATAATCCTGTATGTAATTTACTTAATATAATTGAACAATATAAATGTTTTTGTTACAATTATTTTCTCTTTCATCAGAAGGAAAGAGATGCTCATCAACACAAGCAAGATAAAATTTCTGCAGTTGATAATTCTGTGTCACGAGAAAAAACTCAAGTACAGTCCCTTTTTAGAGTCAGCAATCCACATGAAAATTCTAGTTTCGTTCAGAAAACGTTTTGTCCTAAAATTGACGAAGTCCAAACGAATCACAATAATATGAGTGATAGTAAGAATGTTTTTTTTTTAAAGAAAAAAATTCTATCTTGGTTATGTTATTAAGGTTTGCTTATTTATATTGAAGTGAAACCTCACATTACAGACACTCTTACAAAACAGAAACCTCTCATCAATGACATATTTTTAATTCCCGAGAAATCTTCAATGAAAAAATAATTATGTACCCTCTCTGAGAAGCGGACACTCCCATAACCGAGCGTGGACAATCATTTATACCCCAAAGCATTATTTTCTATCTCCTACCTTATATGTAACTAAACATATTGTCAAGCTATTTTACAATTAAGAAATCATTCTCCTGTCACCTTTCTTTTTATCTTCTTTATCTTTAGATTATTTTCTAGCATCTTTAGATTATTTCATTTGGATGACACAGGTTAAGGGACCCCATAAGTTCAAATCACGCATTAATGCTCTTGCTCCCTCTTCTGCACTGAAAATTCCTATCTTCTAATCAATTAAACACTTATTTTTAACACAGCTGAGTTTAAAAAAAGAAGAAGAAAGAGACGTATCTAGTCAGGTACGTGCTCATATAAGTGAAGCATTTATTCAGACACTTGACAGATGATCAGTTGTCAATGTAAAAATTTCATAGGGCCTGATGCCTTACAGAGAAGTGTTACTTCTTTTTTTTCTTCCTGTTTATCATGAGAGGTTAATCTTCAAAGAGGTTTTGCCACATTTCCTATCAAGTGAGGGAGAGTAAACCTTATAATTGAAGCCAATTGTGGAATTGACATAGCATTAAAAGCATCTATTCAGTGATACTAACTTGAATGTATGTGTAAATAGGAAAACGTATTAATTTCTTTGTTGTTGCATCTAAAATCATCTATATATATATCAAATTTTTTCCTCTATTCTTTTTGTTAATATCCATGCCTTGTCCAGGATCGGTTTCCAGGACCTTTCTGATGTGAGGTCAGCTTCCTGACTATTGTATAGTCCAGTTCGAAAATCGATATAAAGATATAAATTTTTCATACATGAAAAATTTATAGCGATTTTTTGAACATAAAATTTTCAGGGTTTTTCACTTTGTCACAATCGCCCCTAAGAAATGGACAATTATCGTACAAGGACCATTTTTTTGGTCCCAAAAGTGTCTGCTTAACTGAGGTTTCACTGTATTTGTTTCTCTTTTTTTTCTAATATTCTATTCTATTCTAAATTTTGCTTGAAAAAACAATTTTTGCATTTTTATCTAATTTTTGTTATGGTATACTCGAATAATACTATTTCATATTTCCTGACGTATATTTTTTTCAACTTCATATATTATAAACTGCAAATTTATTTAATTTTGTTTTGGTTGTGGTATTTTTTTCATTCATTATTTTTAAATATCATTTTAATATTTTATTACCTATATAATCTGTGCTAGTAAAATCGATCTGGCTTGACAAAATATAAAAATAATTGTCTTGATCAATTATTTTAACAAACATTTTTATAAACTTAGCAGCAACCCTTAAGAGGCTTCTTATATTAGGAATTAGTATTGCATTAAATAAAAAATATTGTTATGATTATTTTATCATGTTGTGAAGATATCATATACAAAATATTAGAATTTTCTTCGGGTGATATTGAATAATTCTGAATTTACACATAAAGTACAGAACATGTAAATTAACTTTTTTAGTAAAATATTATGTTTTTTTTTTTGGTACGAAAAGCATTAATATTGTAATATTGAACCTAATTTTCTATGAAATTATTTGTTAAATTTATTAATGAACTATGTTGTTAAAATTAATGTGTATTGCAGATTCATATGGATTGAGGAGCAGAAATGCTAGCTTAATTAATGGTTCAAATCCTGGTTCATGTAACCACTCCTCTGACAATAGCCCACCTGAAGTTAGAGATAATATTTTAAGTAGTCCACCCAATTCTTTACCTATTAAGGATGACAGCAATGCTCGTCATTTTTCATTTTCATTGGATCTATCAAATTTTCAAGCTACAAGATTAGCTCATCCGATCAATCTTTTTATTAGGTGGGTAATACTTCATACTTCAAATGTTATAATGAAAGAGAAATATCAATATAAATAGAAAAACAGAGTTTTTGTTCATAATTTTGGGAGTTAATTAATATTAGTAATGTATGTTAAAATCATGTCTTGTAAAATATCATTGTTAAACATCAGTTTTTGACAATTTTCATTATAGAATGATAGAAATCCATTAAACATTTATTATTTTTCATAATAGTGTAAAATCCTCTTGAATGTACGTTAGTTGAAATAAATACTGCAAATAATACTTCACGAAACATGACACTTATTAATAGATAGTTTCATTAAATTTCTATTCTTTGTTCCATAGCAGAAATTATTTTATATTTTAGAATTTTTATTTTATTTTCTGCTTTATATTGGCTCAATAAATTTTCTTTAAGTAATTTAAAACTTTAGAGCATATTTAAATTGATTCTGTGTTTTTTTAGGTACTCGTATCCATTTTTTGGTACAACTTCATCAATGATAACTCATCCCGATGTTGAAGTTCATCCAAAACGGGAAGTCAGTATCCCACATGGGTACTGTTCTTTTAATTTTGCCACCACATTTTCTATGTTGAAGTCTACATTTTGGGAGTAAGTATTAAAGGTATTGAATCATAAATTAGAAACTGTTAGTGTGTTGCTTTTTTTTGTAGTTCTTAACTATTTTGATTTATTTTTTGATAATTTTTAACACATGTTTTTCTGAAGTTTTTAATTTCCGATTTCCTAATTTTTTATCATTTGATAAGTACAATATCATTAAATTTTCTCTTTGGCAAGTCATAGTTTCTTACCAAATAAAAGAATTAGCTTATTTTCTCTAGATGTCTATAGTAGGAGAAATTCAATGACATGAAATAGTGTAGGTAAAAGAAAAGGAAAAACATAGATCAGAGTGTGTGTGTGTATATATATATATATATAATTAAAATTGGTTTCTTCTTTTTAGAGATGGGGTTCTCACTATGTTGCCCAGGCTGGGCTCAAGCTACCCTCCTGCCTCNGATTCTGAAATATTATCTAGCATCATAATTCAGACATATGATGTGCACATTCTATATATATATATATTAAATATTTTACTTCACTGTAATCATAGGTAAAGCCTTTTTAAATTATTTTAGTTGCAGGGATCACAGTCGCTAACATGAGATTCAGAGATCTAAAATGTGTTATATTAATTATATTTTGTGCGTTATAGCTGATTCCAGATACTTGAAAACATAAACCATTGCTTGAAAACATAATGACATCTATTGCAACAGAGATTTTTAAATTGCATAGTGATAGTTTTTTGAAGTTGCAACTTCCTCATAGCAATAATGTTTTTAATGTTGTTTACAAAGGTTTTTTTTTATTAAAAATTAGTATACTGGATAAAGAAGTGATATTGGATATATAAGTGATAGCTGATATTCTGGAAATATGCTCTTTAAAGAGTTTTGTAACCACTGTATTGTCTTAGGCAGTTATTTTTTTTAAAAAAAAACTTTTTTATTAAAGAACCTCTATGTTTAGAATGATAAAACATGACCAGATAATTAATATAAATACATCAGTATTCTACAAATGTCTCAATTTATCTCCATACATGCTTTTATGAACATTGATCAATCAAATGGTATATTCTTTCATTATAATTGGGCTGCAAAATGCATACAATTATATATCTATTACTTTATGTACTTGACTAGTGATTGGTTAAATGTGTCTAATGGCGCTATCACCAGAAACATTTATATTGTGCTAAACTTCAGCAATGTTACTTTATTAAGGTAACATAATCATAGCTGTCAGTACTGATTATTGCTAGTATATTAATACATAGTGAAGTGAACCTCATTTATAGAAATCAGTTCAGAACTTTTTTTGTTCTAAAATGTTCAGTTTATTTTTATTCAGAACTCTCTTTTTAAATTAATTTAAAAAAAAATCTTTTAACTGTCTTTGGTGAATTAAATGCCTATTAATAAGATTTCAAGTATATTTAATGTCAATCACAAGTGGAAAATATTGCAGTTTTTCTATTTTGATGACTATAAAAATCTCTAAAATTCCCCATGTGTGAAATATTTGGTACATTATTCAACAATTATCATGAAATGTATGTTATTTTGTAAAATCTGCTGGATTTTTTCCCACCCATGTTGGCAGTTATGCATAATCTAAATAAACTAAGTCAGAAGAAAAGAAGGGAAAAAAAGAAAATAAAATTAAATAAAAAAGGAAAATCACTAAGGTGAATCTTAATAATTTCATTATTCATTATGACATCATTTCTCCTGTTCTATTTATTTTAATTAATCATTTCTGACCCTTGCAGAGATTTTGCCTAAGATATGTATTTTTAGTTTCTTTTTAAATTTTAAAAATAATATATCCATTATTGAGTATATGTTTTGTTATACTAATTTTTTAGCAGTATTTGCCAAGTTTTTCATCAGTTATATTAAATATCATCCAAGAGTTTTATTTTGAGAAATATTAAAAAATAATCAAAATGTAACTAATTTATTGTTGCATTCTTTGTTTGAATTAATAGACAAAAAATTGTGACAAATCTTATACAGTGGGTGATCGGTTAACGAACATAATCCGTTCCAAGACTATGTTCGCTATCCGAATTGTTCGTTAACCGATCATCGATTCACCATAGACTTCTATGTGAAATCGATTAATTCGTTCAGGAGACCCTAAAAATTACATTTTAAAAAATGAGTGATTTCTTAGTAAGTTTTTTTAGAAATAAAACATACATATAAACTTGCATATTAATCAGTCCTTTTCATTTTTTGCTTATGGGGCATTGAAGAACATGTCCAATGTCGATTGCTTTTCTCTCTTTTTCAGGATTTTCCGGAAGTAATTAATAGCATTGTCGTTGTAAAGATCCCCAACCCTACTGACATCAGATTGGTTTGGGTGCCATTCTAAGACCATTGCTCTGACATCCTCCCACTATTTCAAAAGATCTTTAATGGCAGATGTCGGCATTGGTCCTCTTTCATCTTCCTCTTGTTCAGATGGAGACACATTTCGCTGTGTTTCTTGGTGTTCTTCATTCAAAATTTCTTAGAGTTCTTCTGTCGTCAGTTCATCTTCATGTCCCATTATGAGCTCTTCTATATCATCCTCGTTCACCTCCACTTCCAGATCGCTAGCAGTTGTCAAAATTTCATCCATAATTTCAGGGGCGTCTCCCTGATCACCTCCGTCTCCTTGAACGAAGGATGGACACAGCTTCCGCCAAGCAGAAATCAACTGTCGCTGTGTGACTTCTGACCACGCCTTTTGAATGATACGAATAGCTTCAAGAATGTCAAATTTTTCTTTCCAAAACTTTTTTAAAGTCATTGTTGAGGAGAATTGGCTTGCTTCAAAACACCGACGAAACAGCGCGCGAGTGTACAATTTCTTGAAAGCCGCAATAACCTCCTGATCCATCGGCTGAATCAGCGAAGTCGTATTCGGAGGTAAAAACTGAACTGTCAGCCAGGGAAAGTCTGTCAACAAATTATCTTCAAGATCCTTTGGGTGTCCTGGTGCATTGTCCAATAGCAGCAGTGCTTTCAACGGCAAGTCATTGGTATCAAGGTAGTCCTTGATGCTCGGGGCACAAACTTTAAATAGCCATTCTTTGAAAAGATACTGCGTGACCCATGCCCTCTGATTCGATCTCCACATTACTGGCAGTTTGCTCTTAATTATGGAATTTTTTTTAATGCTCTGGGATTCTCAGAGTGGTAAACGAGAAGTGGTTTAAGCTTCATATCACCACTAGCGTTAGCTCCCAAAAGTAACGTCAATCGGTCTTTCATAGGTTTATGCCCAGGAACACTTTTCTCATCTTTCGTGATGTAGGTACGGTTCGGCATGCGCTTCCAAAACAAACCAGTTTCATCACAATTAAATATTTGTTGTGGACGATACCCTTTTGTTTCAATGAATTCTTGAAATTTGAGACAGTACTTCTCAGCTGCTTCTTTATCTGCACTAGCAGACTCACCATGCATTAATACATGTTTAATTCCAGACCTTCTTTTAAACTTTGTAAACCAGCCAGTGGTAGCCTTGAATTCTAACTCCTCGGATGATGAACCTGGAGTTTGTTCTTTCAATTTCTCAAAAATTTCTCTAGCCTTCTCTTGAGTGATTGGCATACTAGTTTCATTTCCCGTTCATTTATCCAAACTAAAAGCAACCTCTCCTTTTTTTAAGGATAGCATTTCTTAGTTTCGCAGATGAGATTTTCGTTACTCCTTCAGCTCCTCATAATAATAATTTTTGAATGACTTTTAAATTCATTGTTAATTCAAGTTTCATTAAGTAATTATTAATACTAAGCATGCTTTAACCATTTCTCCTTTCAGTGATCTTATTTTGTATGCAAAATAATAACAAATGTTTAATATTAATTTTTCTTCAGGCCGAAACGTGTTCGTTAGAATTCGTTTTGTTCATTATCCGAATATGTGTTCGTTATCCGAACACAAAAAACTTTCGTGAAAGTGTTCGTTAACCGATTTGTTCGTTAACCGATCTGTTCGTTAACTGATCACCCACTGTAATAAATAGTTATGATTGATCCCTGTCAATTTTAGGACTCCTCTTATTTTGGAAATTCTGCACAGAAAAAAGGATGGTCAAGAGCAACTTGTAGGAACTGCTAGAATAAATTTGTTTCAAGTTTTAGATGCGCCATCTCTTAGTCACGTGGTAAGTATATATAAAAATGCAAAATAAGTTTATAAAAACAAATAAATGATTTTGTCAAGTAATGAATGCGTAATAGTCTTTTATACCTTTAAAATATAATTTATTGTATTAGTTTAAAATCTCTGCTTTGTCTTAAAATGAAGAAAATATTTTCAGGTTGATAAGAAACATGGTAAACGTCAAATGAACACATGCAAAGTTATGGTTATGTCTCCTGAAGGGTATTATATATATTTTTTATAGTTCTTTAATCAATATGTTGTTTTTAAATGAATAATAGTTCGTAGCTCTTTGTAATGATCTGAATACCATCACCAGTTAGAAACACATTATTTCTATTTGTTACTTAAAACTTTTTTTTTATTTACTGTAAAAACAATTATTTAAATTAAAAGTACAAAACATGTTTTGTCTATTTTTGCAGATATGAAATAGGAGAAATATTTGCTTCCTTGTCATTGATTGATTTCGGGCCTACATCTGTTCTGTGTGATCATCATTCTTCTAAATCCAGTTTACCCTGCTATAATGAGGTAAGTTTTTTTAATTCACATTTTCTTGGCACTTTAGTCCTGTGCAGGCCAAGGTTATTCCTACAAGTATTTTACAACAGTCTGCCAGATGCTTGTTTTAGTAACTTTTAATGGTGTAACATCAACATTCTAAGCATCATCGAGCTGTCTGAGTGGAGGTCTTCCCCATTTTCTAGTGCCACTTAGCTTGTTAAAGGTTAACAGAAATTTAACTTATCCTCTCAAAAGAAGCTCCCAATATTTGGTTTGATGACATCATTAATAATGAAAAAAAAAGTCTGTTTTAGGTAGTTTGTTTTTATCCTATAATTAATGTATTACTGTTGTCACGTCATTTAATGTAATAGTCTTGCTTATAAGATATTTTTGATATGAATTCCTATGTTCATGTAATGTTTCTAATTTAAAATGAAAGGTTAATAAGAATATATGGATAAATGTCATTATATTGCAAGTTTTTTTTAAATTGAATTATTGAAAAAATTCAACATTAAAGATGTAAAGGATGTGTTTTCTTAAAAGCTGAAACAAAAACAATAGTATATTATAAAGAGACTTTACAATTGACGAACAGCAATATGACCTGGTCTATTAGAATATAATCTCTGTTACTGTCAGCTAATCTGAATAGAAATAAAAAAAAAGCAAATATGTATATATTTTTAGAATACTGTCAAAATTGGCTATATTTGTTTTAAAATATATCTGTTCTAATTTTATTGTTATTATTTTTAAGGTTCGCAGTGCGATACCCAGTTTTACTCTTCCTATAATGAGACAAAATGGTTTGACTCAAGATGAGTTACTGCAGGCTGCATTAGAGGTAGAGCTTTGGCAAGAGCGCCAAAGGGAAATTTTCCGTGTTCAGGTAAAAGTGTTTAAAGTTTATATAAATTTATATACAGTCGGACCTCTATTTAACGAACTTCCATTTTGCGAATTTCTCTATTTTGCGAATATTTTCAAGGAACTAAGAACATTTTGGAAATTTCTTCGTTAAATAACTTCCAAATAGCAAAGTGAATTTTCTACTTAACGAACTTTTTTTCGAGATCCACTTTCCCTATGTCCCGAAATATTTCAGAACATTTCAAACTTGTTAACGCATTTTATGGGGGAAATTATCTCGAATTGATTTTCGAAGCTACTTCACTTTTAGAGAAAGCAGTAAAATCTCTTCCCCTTTTTGTTTGCATTTCAAACAAAAAAACTCAGACAAAATTAACGGGAGCCTTTTAACTTAAGAGTGCATGTTGTAATGTATGCTTAAAATTACTTTGCAATTATAATTTTATACAGCAAATAAATGCAGCTATAATTTTATACATAAATTCAGCTTTTGTTTAGTTGAAAATGTAATAGCATGGTTGTGTAACACTGGATAATGTTTTGCTCTATTCTTGCTTTCGAAGCAAATTTCTTTTATGGTTAGGATTTATAAAATAAATAGTAGATTGATTGATTGAATGTAGGGTTTAGTGGCACAAGATCAAAATGAGGACATGCTGCGCCAAACAGTACGGTTAATAAATAAATAGTAGATACTAGTTTACAAGATAAAGGTGTATCGACAGTACCGTCTTTACGCATGGGCACACCCGGGCAGTGCCCGAGGGCCCTTAAGCACTAAGGGGGCCCTTGGGAATCTTACTTTTTATAAATCGTATTTAAAAAAAACTAAGAATAACCAAAATTGCCTTATTTATTTTTAAAAATAAATATATTCTATGGTATAAAGTGTGCATTTTGTTTTTCTTTCTACAAATAGTGATTGATTATCATGCAAAAAACAATAATTTGAATAGTTTATCACCAGGGAAACTAAAAAAGGTAACCGAAATCTATTTTTCTACTTTCCAATGAAGTTTTTATGTGGATTCAGTTTCTTGAGGAATGTATTTAAATTTGTTCAAATTATTGCATATGTTAAAAATGCTTTATTTTGTGTATGTGAAGTTTTTGTTAGTTCGATTTTAAGCAGTATGACCTGTTATAAGGGCCCAAAACATTTCTGTGCCCGAGGGCCCTGCATGCTATTAAGACGGCCCTGTATCGATTGCTATTTTAATTATGCCTAGTGTTTATGAATTTAAAACTTGTTTTGCATTGTTTAAGTATTTCAAAAGGTGATTTTCTATTTAATGAATTTTCCTTGTAACGTACTTATTATCGGGATTTAGCGACTTCGTTAAATAGAGGTCGGACTGTATATACTACTACTGACTATATTTATTACTACTGAAATGCGGAAATTAGATAATGTCCAAATTATCGGATTCCAAGCTTTACTGGTAGCATACATATGCATTCCTGACTTTTTGTGAAAAGTTCGTTTTGAAAACTCTTCCCATGGGTCCATATTTATGAAAAATCTATTCCTAATTTTGTCTAAGTAAAAATAAGATTTTGTTTTTTGGAGGAAGAAACACAAAAAGTATGTCTTTTCAAGGAGTTTGTTTTTAAATTTCAAAGTAGAGTTGTTATTATTAGTTTAACTAGTATTATTAATTCAGTATATTTAGTTATTATCAGTTTTTTTGATGGAACCATTTATGAAATAAAAATTTTGTAATTGGTATCTTACTACCAACTTTTTCGTGGAGAGTTATTTTTTCATGGAGAGTTATTTTTTCATGATAAAAAAAAGTTTGTGAAGGTTCCGTTAACAGACTCAAATTACTCCCAAAATGACCCCTGATCTATATATAAATATAAAAGGTATTATTTCTTTTATTAATCTAAAAAATTAGGCAAGGTAAAAACAAAATATTTTCTGTGATAAGTTGCATCAAAACTATATAAAACACATTCAGTTTGTTAATATATTGTAAATTCATTATGTATTAAAATTAGATTTTCTAGGTGATGTGCAGTCCTATATGATATACATGAGTTTCGCTCGCAGAAAATTTGTCACCGTAGCTAAACATTTTTTACTTTTACTAAAGAAAAAAATCTACCTCTTCAAAGAAAGTTTGACTTTTTAAAATTCCTGAGGGGGAAAAAAACATTTTTTGGCTCTTTCCCATGGGTCAGGGAAAACCTGGAATTGTCAGTGAATTTTATTTTAATGATAAAAGAGAGGGAATAGTTAAGACAAAAATTCACATTTTTATTTATTGGATAAATTCTTCCTATATATATTTTTTTCTTGCTCAAATTTCAGATATTTCTTTTCAATTATTTTAAAACTATTTTGGCACATACCATTTTTGCATTTCTGTTACCACCTTTTCGGTGTTTTACCTAACTCATCCTTGTGGTATGAATCAATATAGAATTGCATAAAAATAAAACATATCATTTTCAGAAATCTGATTTTTAAACAATCCTCACCGAAATGAGGTGGCGATGAAAGGGTAGAAACTAGTTACAAGAGCTAATTAATATGTGCCGAAATTTTTTTAATTGAGATTTTGTGTTTGCTGAAAGTTTTTCATTTCACCTAAGTCTGGTGAATAGAATGTATGTTAGAGGTTTAAAGGAAAAGATACAACTGAAAATAAAATTTATGAAAAAGATAATGATTATTATTTTTGCTCTTTTATTTACATGATTGCTAATTGAATTATAAAAATGGCTGTATGGCAACTCTTTAGGATTACGCTGTTTTCTTGAATAAAAAAAAAGTTTCAGGTGATTTACATGAAAAGCTCCAGCTAGGATTTACTTATCAACCTAATTTGACCTTTATTTGTAATTCATTTTTACTTTTATCTTCCCTTCTGAAATAGAATATTATTTTGACCCAATTTTATCTTTAGTTTTATTTGCAGAGTGCAGCAAAAAAACAAGGACAAACAAGTTTAAATTCATTTTTATTAAAAATTAATAAGTTTACTAATATAGAAAATGATAATAGAAGTAAACTTTTGCTTATAAATGAATTGAATTGATTTCAAAGTGTCAGCCTTTTGCAACTGTGCATAGACGCAAGCGTTTTATAAAATGTTAAGTAATGGATTGCAAGTCAGCACTGGGAGAGATTCCTTTTAACTGATCTGAAGCTCTTTACTATCTCGCAAGCTCATAACTCCCAGAACGATAGGATATGGTCTGTAGACATTCCAAGCACATCTGCGATTGTTAAACATTGCCAAAGTTAGACATGCTGTAGATTGGAATTTGCGCAAGTGGCAAATCAATTGTGGTTTTTTTATGCATAAGGCAGCTACTTAAAAACAATTAATATTACTTACTAGTATAAGTCTACTCTTATTATTTTTTATATTTTATAAATTTTTTAAAGTTGTATTAAAAAAAATTTCCCTTCACTCTAAAACCAAATCACACCCCTATTTTTATTGCTTCTTTTCTAAGAGCAAAAAAGCTATTCTTCAAGTTTCTGCATCTCAGATTTTTCTATTCCTCAATTGCATCATTTATTTATGTTTATGTACAAATAGTCTTGTGATATTAGATTTAGGTCATTTTTTCAAACATTTAGGTCCTCTTCCAACAAATCAATCCTGTATTGGTTTTTAAATAGTTGATTTGAGTTGTTCAGGTACTTTAAAAGAAAATTTTAAAATGTTTTCCTTTATTTATGGAAGTTTACTATAAAAATTATTTGTACAAATAAAAATTCAAATATTTTTTATAGCTTAAGGAAAAAGAAATGCAACACTTATCATTTCTGACATCTGAATGGAAACAAAGAGATAAAGAAAGAGAATTATTATTACAACGAAAGGTAACATTTTGTTATTATATATTATTTATAAATAATGATGCAGAAAGCAAAGCAATGTTGTATGATTTGTGATATACTGGAAACCATGAAAATCAACGAAAGCTATACAGAAAATTTTTAGCGACATAGATTTATTTTGTGCCCAAAGAATTTTTTGTTATCACTTGGTGATAGAAAAAATCTATTGTGTTTGAATCATTGAAATTTGATAGAAAATTAACAAATAAATAGTAGTAACAACAATAAAATAATGAAACTTATTCATTTTTTCTGAATTCTTTCGTTAAGGAATTATTTTGATTTTTGGTCCTTTTTGTATCATTTAATTCACAATTTTAAGTGCCCTGCACTGTGCATTTCTCTCCATTTTAAATCTTTATAATAAATATTCTTTGTTTTCATTTATTTATTTAAAAAAAAAATCTGAATTTGTTATTTGGTTTTGAGTGCACCTCATCAAGTATCAATAAATATTAAAAATTGTTTTAAAGTTTTTTTTGGCTTATGTTTTATATTTTTTACATTATAACTAAATTGCATTATGACTGGTATGGGTATTAAAAAATTAATTGTACCTTCATATTGCTTAATTATGAATTAAATACCAGTGTATACCTGTATATTCTAGTATTTATTATCTATCTCTTTCATTAGCTTCAAGAGTGCCAAAAATTAGAAGATAAATTGAAAGTAACTTTGAAGGATGCTGAATTAAAAGAAAAACAATTATCTTCTCAAGAAACAGAGGTTGGTAAAACAATGTTTTGTTGGGAACATTCTTTTTTTTTTATTAATAAATTTTATAGTTTCAAAATATAAGATAACTTAACTATGACTGGTATATTAATTTTAATGTCTGGTATTTTTGTCGTTAAGCTAATGTGATTTATGTGTACTTTTGGTAGCCTTGTTACGTTGCTCTATGTTAAAGTTCTGAACGGTTGCCATTGTCTCTGTGATAGAGAGGTCTTTTTTTTAAACTGAAAAGGATAATAAATATTGAAAAAAAATTTGCATTTTATTCTTACTGAAGTATTAGAATTTTATTCTTAGAAAATTGCTAAAAAATATGTATTTTTTATTATTAAGAAAATTTTTTTTTAGTGAAATACGAAATTCGGTTTAAAAAAAAAACTGATGGAAGAGGTTTATATTAAAGTTAAAGCAGAAATTTTAAGTTTAAACAAAAATTAAAACATCTGACATTTAAAATTTTCTTCAAACAATTATTGAACTTTTTAAAGTTTGAGATTTAGGTGTTTGGTGAACAATTTATTTTAATAAACGTACTTCCACTCTTCATCTTGATTAATTCAGTGGCTTTTTCATTCTTTATCATTTTTATCTAAAAAAAATAAGAAGAATGATTCAAATATCTGTTAATTTTATAGAAGTTTGAAAATAAATTTTCTATTTGAAATATCACTTTCTTTTAAAATGAGCTAAGTTATATTCAGACTTTAATTTCTGTCATTCTGTTAACTTTTAAAACTGAAGAATAATTTTTTTTTTTCATTTTAATTNTATGATTTATATTTTTTACAATATAACTAAATTGCATTACGACTGGTATTTGTATTAAAAAATTAATTGTACCTTCATATTCTTAATTATGAATTAAATTCCAGTGTATACCTTTATATTCTAGTGTTTATTATCTATCTCTTTCATTAGCTTCAAGAGTGCCAAAAATTAGAAGATAAATTGAAAGTAACTTTGAAGGATGCTGAATTAAAAGAAAAACAATTATCTTCTCAAGAAACAGAGGTTGGTAAAACAATGTTTTGTTGGGAACATTCTTTTTTTTTTATTAATAAATTTTATAGTTTCAAAATATAAGATAACTTAACTATGACTGGTATATTAATTTTAATGTCTGGTATTTTTGTCGTTTAACTAATGTTATTTATGTGTACTTTTCTTAGCCTTGTTACATTGCTCTATGTTAAGGTTCTGAAAGGTTGCCCTAATCTCTGTGATTTTATTCTTAATAAACTTAGTTTTTATTCTTTTAAATAGTTAGAAAATTGCTAAAAAATATATATTTTTTATTATTAAGAAATATTTTTTTTTAGTGAAATAAAAAACTTGGTTAAAAGAAAAAACTGATGGAAGAAGTTTATATTAAAGTTAAAGCGGAAATTTTAAGTTTAAACAAAAATTAAAACATTTGACATTTAAAATTTTCTTCAAACAGTGATTGACCTTTGTTCTTTTTAAAATTTGAGATTTAGGTGTTTGGTGAACAATTTGTTTTAATAAATGAACTTCCACTCTTCATCTTGATTAATTCAGTGGCTTTTTCATTCTTTATCATTTTTATCTAAAAAAATAAATAAGAAGAATGATTCAAAATCTGTTAATTTTATAGAAGTTTGAAAATAAGTTTTCTATTTGAAATATCACTTTCTTTTATCATGAGCTAAGTTATATTCAGACTTTAATTTCTGTCATTCTGTTAACTTTTAAAACTAAAGAATTAAATTTTTTTTTCATTTTAATTTTCATTAATTTTTGTAGCTTTCTATGAAACTTCTTAAACTTGATAAAGAGAAAGAACAACACCAAAGAGAAACAAAAAATCAAATTGAATCTATCAAGCATGAATATAATGAGATGCTAACCATGGAAAGGTATTAATATAGTTCTCCTAAATCTTGTATACAATTTAATTCTTTGTTGCTACATTAAAATTTATTTGATGTCCTTGTTATTTGTTTATTAAAGAATGAAGTCTAGAGAATTAGAACAGAAAAACAGTTCTTTGATTCGTCAGGTAATGCTTTTTTTGTTTTATGTTCATGGTTTGTTTCCTTAATAAATATTTAGTAACTGTAATATTGCTGAATGAATGATTTTGGTTGAATCAGAATTTTATTTTTATTCTATTAAGAAAAAAAGGATTATTTCAAACACAAAAAATTTCTTTTAGACTGATGTTCCTTTTTTTTTTTTTTTTAAATGCCAGTATTTTTAAGAGTGTAAAAAATTTAATTATAATTTATTTCTATTATATGCTTTTATAAGTTTAATTGAAGATAATTTTGTTTTATTTATTTGATTTTTCTTTGTTAAAGTTATTGTTTGGCTATTTAAATGCGATACATTAAATTTATAAAAAAAATTTAAGGTCTATAAGGTAATAAATTATATATGAATGCAAGGAACATTAAGATTTTTGTGCAATATGCTTCGCTTGGTGTAAAAAGTTTCTATTATCCTGATGTTTTAAATTTTAATTTTCAAGATTTTCCTTTTATGTAACGTTAACTTTGTAATGTATTTAATATTATCTAGCTTAGTTAGAGAAGCCCTTTTTTATTAAATTTTAATGGGAATTTTTTTTCTAATTATGTTAATAAAATTTAATGTCCCAATTTTTAAGCCAATTGAAGAGAATTGGACATTTTGAATTTCAGATCAAGGAATTAGAGCGTGATATCCAAGATCAACGTGCTGTCTTTGAAAGTTTGAAAATGCAAGCAAACAAAGATCCGGATGTTCATTTGCGAACAGAAGTTAATATTCTTATCATGGAAAAAGTAAATATTATTTCATTTTTTCTTTCATTTAATTTCCCACCTATATTTTTAAAACTAAAGAGCTGATCTCTAAAGATAAAGACCCTAAGATAGCAGTAAAAAGGAGAAAATAGCAAACTTTAAAACTTTATGGAATTTATTTTACCCAAGAATAAATATTGATATTTATCTAAACTCGTGTAAGTTTACGCATGCATTTATAATTTATAGGCAGAACTTCAACAGAAACTTGAGACTGCCTTATCATCAAAACAAAAGTACAAAATTCAGTGGGGTCAAGTAGTACGCCAAATGTCTGCTCTTCAGCAGAAACTTCATAATATGGAGTGCTTAGAAAAAGAGAGAAAGGAAAAAATTTCATCTTTCCAGCAAAGAATTTTATCATCTGAAGAGAAGAATGCTGTGCAAACTAATGATGAAATTCATGGTATTGTGAAAGAAAAAGTTGAGAGGTAAATAATTCTTATTCTTTTAAGTTTTAGATAAAATAAATCTAATTTTATTCATCTTTTTATGTGTTAGTGCATTCTTTGTTTATTTACATTTTTCTTCTCCTGTTTTTAAATAATTGATTGGTATGCAACTTAGATAAAGAATGATCTATGCACTTATTGTATTGCTGGTCTAAATTATAGTTTAAAATTTTTTATTAAAATAAATCTAAATTTTTTTCTTATTTCTTTCTTATTTCTCTTTTTCTTATTCACTTAAGGGGTTTGCAACAATTTTTTTAAATAACTATAAAATCATTTATTTTGTGGATGTTTTACATGCTCATTTAACTTATAATCAATAATTTATCTTCAAAAAGTAATTAAACTGTTTAATTTTTTTTTTGAAAAACTTCAAAATTTTTAAATCCATAAAGCTTTTTTTATTTGAATATATTTTCAGAAAATTTTTTTTTCTTGGTGCTTACTATATTTATTTTAACAATTTTGTGCATTCATTTGTTGATGTATCAATTAGAATTTTTTGTATAGATTATTTTGTAAAAATGTAGAAAAAAAAGGTTAAAAATTCCTGTTAAGTATATATAACATGCTGTAAAAATTGTAATGCCTCATAAAATGCTTATTCCATGCATAGTTTAAATAAGTGTATTATACTTAAGATAAAAAAGTTTACTTCAAAGCTTTATCTTAAGTAGAAAAATTCCTTAGGGATTCAATTAAGATTAATACACAAAATTATCATCTATGAGAAAAAGCACTCTAAAGTCTGTCTGCTGTGCAAGTTTCTGTATTAGGACAATCTAAAATCATTCATAACTTTTTTAAAAATGTAGATAGAGAGATGATTTTTTTTCAGTGAATTTGAAATAGTTTTAAGTTTTATTATAAGCAGTAAAATTTTTTTTTCTTCGATAATTTGGTCATTTTTTGGAGTTTTCCTTAAGAGTTTCTTTATGTTTCTATATTTTTTGAATTTCATAATCGAACTGGGCTTTTAAATTTTAATAAATTATTTAATGAAATATGCACCCAATCATAAGATATTTAAAACTTATTTTTGAACGATCTTTCCTATATATTTATTACTTTGATGTAGCATTTGCCTAAATACAGCTTGATATAAAATGAAAATAATTTTTTATTTGTGTTTCTAGATTATCATCAGGTGCATACTCTAAATATTTTGATTGAGATATACTGACTGGAATAGTAATTTAATATTTTTTCTGCGTAATTTTGAAATGTGTCGGAAATTTTAAAAAAGCTTGTATATAATTTGATAACTTACAAATTCACAGTATAGCACAAGTTCAAAATATAGTCTGGAACAAAAAGTACATCGATGTATTAAGCAAATTTGTCTTTCGTATGTACTTTCCATTCAAGAATGCATTTTTGCATTTAATGAGTAATATCAAATCAACCAAATATAATAAGCCTCATTTTCTAAAATATCATTTGTTGTGAGATGTTTCTGAGTATTTTTCTGAGTATACAGTCAGACCTCGATGTAAGGTCACCCTAAGGGACATCGCAAAAGTGACCTCATAAGCGGGGTGACCTTTTAACCGATTCATTAGCAGTTCGTAACTAAGCACGTAAATAATACTTATTATGATTTTTTAAAAATGGTAATACAAGCGGAAACGATCGGCCATATCTGAATTAGTGAAGAATTAAAGAAAGTTAAGATTTTTTTTAAAAGTTTTAATTTAAAATAAAGCTGTTTACTAATTTTCTCAAAGTGTGCAGTACATCTTACTGTATTTAAAATAAATCATTTATGCAGGTCTGTCTAGTTTTTGGTTGCATTTTTCGAACAATGTTTTCTAGATTTTGTAACTTCTCAAAATGTTCCTCAGCTCCATCATGGTTTGTAAAAAAAATTTGTGTGGCATTTATTGCATTGAAGGATTCCGGTTGGGTTACAGTCTCAGGATCACTGTCATTGTCCTCACTCTAAAACAATTTCAGAAATTGTAGCTTGTTCATTTGGTTGCAACATTTTCATCGAATTCGAGAGGGGTAATTGCCTTGTAAAGAAGTTATATAGGCTTTTGAGAGAAGAGCTCCCCTCACCTCAGATAAATATGACCTTATAAGCGATAACGATTTTTAAAACTTGACCATATATCCGATAATCTGTAGCAAAGAATTCCTATTCAGTGAGCCGGGACTTTGGTAAAGTGACCTTATATGAGGATGGCCTTATGTCGAGGTCTGACTGTATTTATGTCTGAGTATTTCTATTACTTAATCTGAATTGAGAAAGCTCAATACTTTTTTATTATTGTGATAAGCCTGTGTATGGGTTGTCCAAATGAAAAATAATTATGTGATATCTTCTATCTGCTTATTTAAGTATTGTTATATTTAAAGACTAAGTTCAACTATAAATGACTTACATCCATTTTGTTTGAATTTACAGCTTGAAATCTGTTGTATCCCCTGAAAGTATTAAACAGCAGATGCGCCAGATGTCTTTAGCTGTGCATGGTGCAGAAACATCTCATTTAAACAGCCCTATTCAAAACCACCACTTAATTTCTAATGCTACTGTGAACAGGCTGATATCTAATGGTCCTTTGCAGAACTCTAGTGCCAAATGTTTAACTAGTATTTCAGATGAAGTGACTGAAAAACACAATTCAAATGAACACTCTAGTCCTTCAGGATTAGAGAAAAGTCCTGTTTCTATGACTTTACACTCAAAGCCATCAGGTATTCCAAAACTCTCAAAAGACTTACCAGATCTGAATGGTAATACTACTTCTAAAGACAATAATTTTCTTCAAAAATTACTTGCTGACAAGGAAAAACTTATTTTGTCTGGTTACAAAGAACAGCATAAAGCTATAAAGGATCTTAACATTCATATTGATAAAGCAAAGCTAACATCAAAATGAATAATTTTTACAATATATTTTTTCATTTGTGAATTTTTCATTTTTTACATTTAAGTGTGTAACTTATTTATTTTTCATCTGTGTGTTTTTTTTATTACTGTGTTAAAATATTTATTTAAAAATAAGTTTTATTTTGAGTCTGAAAATGCAATCCGAGTGACAGTGGGAGTGAATTTTAGAAATTATGTATGTACCTTTTTTTTTAAAAAAAATTTTTTTTTGCTGTCAAAGCATGGGTGATGAAAGATAAAATCTCTATGTAGTAAACTGTCTTAAAGTTATTATTGAACCAGCTTGCATAGATAAGATACCATCTTAAAATTATACTTTTTAATCTTAATGCATGGTTTAAAACTATCTCTGTTTTGTTTATAATCGTAATTCTAAAACATTTTGGTTACTAAGGTCAAATGTAATTCATTTTTTGCTTTTATGATATTTTTTTTACAGTGTCCAAATATATTTTTGTAATGAAATCTTATTTTATGAATAAAAACCAGTGAAAATCAGGAAATTAATATTTAGATACATTTTACTTTGCATAATTTAATATCAAAATTCTAAATTAATTTTTATTTACTTTATTTACTTACTATTTCACACTCAAAATATAAGTAGTTTCAAATGAGCTATTTGGGCGATTCTTATAATTCTCAATGCAAACAAAATATAATAAGTTTGAGTATTTTTGTAAATTTCTCATTATAACATGTATATATATATAAAAAAAATGGTAAAATGTACTTACCAGAATATTTCTCAATTAAAAAAATTGTGTATAAGAAGTTTTGCTTGAAAAACTGTTTTAAACACATGCACAAAATGCCACATTTCTTTTATTATTGTTCAAAAATATTATTGACAGTAAAAATTTAACGTTGAAAAATTTAACTAAATGAAATTAATTAGGAGCAAAAAAAAACAAACAAACATAATGTTGTGTTTTTTTTTTGTTTTTTTTGTTATACTGTCCTTTGTATAATAGAATTGAAAATCTCATATTTAAGTCAGAAAAGTTGCAAATTTGTTTTATTTTAATTTTCTTCCTCCTTAACTTTTGACATAAATGGCTCAATACAATACAGACATTTTTTTCATAGTTATGTAAAAAATAATAATTAATGGAACACTGAAGAATTGGAATGCCTATGTTTGATACTTACAGCTTTAAATACTATGTTAGGCATACATTTAAGTTTTTAAAGTAATTAAAATAAAATGAAAGAATTTAGTTATAAGTTATGCAATAGTAAAATTCCATTTTGGAGGCAGTGAAAAAATGGCAAACTTTTTTTGATGCTTATTTATGTCTGGTAGTTTTTTACACTCAATCTTCGAAACTGAATTTTATCCTTAAAGCATAGTTGTAGAAAATTCAATATTTTATTTTTATTTTACTAGAACAGCTAAAATATTGTTAAAAGCAGTAATCTCCTCTCATTTTTGTTTTAAACTTGTCATTTCCTCATCTAGATGACCTGGAAAAGTCAGAAAATTTTTTAAAACTTTTTTTAATAAGTCATAAAACTTCTAATTTCTGCTTAAAAAAGGTTATGTATAAAAATTAGAAAAGTTTTTTTAAATTTTTAGAAAAAGATAAGATTGTTTAATATTAGGAAAAATTTATTTCACACTCTTAAGCAATAATTTTTATCCTCTAATTATTTTTTGCAAGCAAAGAAATTTTTTATAAATAGGTGTGAAATTTAAAAAAAAGAAAAAAAAACTAGTGAAATTTTACTATGTTTATTAAAAAAAATTTCTATATTTGTTAGTAAATGTACATAATAAAAATAAGAAAATAATTCATTAAAAAAAATGCTGTCTAAATGCTTCTAAAATTAAAGTAACCTGTAATTTTTTTAATTTTCAATGTATAGTTTTTTTAAAATTTTACTTTATGATTTATCTTTCAAACTTTATTACATTTTATAAATGTATATTTTAAGTTTATATGATATAAATTATCTTTTCTATTTCTGAAAGGGTAATTTAAAGTCTAACATTCTTTGAACAATTGCTGGTGTGCTGGATTTTATATTGTTCAATATTTTATTAATTAGTATATTTAAGAACATATTCTGAAAGAGTGGTTCTGGAAAAGTTCAACAGGTTTCATCTAGAACTTTGCTAGGCACCCTAATTAAATGAAGTGTCATTATCGAAAATGTTTTGCAGAATTCTTATTGTCATTCTAAGAAAAATTACTTTTGTTTAGTTATTTATATAATTGTTTTTTCTAATCAAGCTTTTACAAAGATGAGTCTTCCCCTTTTTTTAATTGGAAATGACAGCTGTTTTGTTTTATTAACTGAATCCTATACATTGCAATTTTAAAAGAAATTGTATAACAAAAAATTGCTGAAGCTCTAGAGCTTGAGAGTATTTTTGGAAGGATATATAGAGAAGTTTCTTGTATATTTATAATTTTTAGAAAAAATATTCTAAGCAAGCAAATTGGATCTTATGGTATTTTAAACTTGAAAATATCATTAACCTTTTATCAAGTTTAAACCACTTTACCAAAACAATCGTACTAAAAAAATAATTTTGAGTGTTGTAATTCTTGAAAATGTTTTCCAAACTGATTTGCAATCATCCTCTATTACTGTTAAGGAACAATCATTCATACTGGAGTTAGTTTTAACAATGTCTTTTCTTTTTTTTTTTTCCTTGTGAATTACATAAAGTATTACTTAATTATGTGGAAAAATTTAAATAGTTGTTTTGCTTACATGCAATTTAATTTGTCGAGAAGATTCGTATTTAAATCAAGGAGTGAGTGCAAGCATTTATTTATATTATTTTAACTGTTTAACCTTTAATTACTTGATAAATATTTTCTTATTTGATTTCAAAAAAAGTATTTCCTGATACTATGGAGAGATCTAATTCGGTAAAAGAATAGTGTGCTATTTAGTATTAGTTGCTCTTATAAATATATTTTTATATAAAATTTTGCTTTTAGTGCAACCATTTGGAATAACGTTCTGTTTCTATTCAAAGCATGATACATAATTGTTTTATGAAACAAATAATATTAGGCAAAGTTGAGTAAATGATACTTATTAATGCTGTGTTATTAATTTTAGATTCATTCAATAAGTCAACTGTAGATTATAAAGGGTAATAGATAATTATTAGTGATTAATACTTTATTAAAGTCTAGTTGCTACATTTGTAAAATTTTAGTATCCTATAAATTTGCCAAATATTAGCGCTTCCATTTCTTTGTTTATATAAAAAATCAACGGTTAACATTTATTGTAAATTTGTTTTATTGTGTATTTAATAAATTTTACTATTTGTTTTATTACTATTTTTATATTCTTCATTTATACAGACATATTTTTAACAAAAATTACACAAAAAATAAAACACCACATTGTATTTAGATAAAAAGTCCTGAAATTTAAAGATTATGTGGTCCACATTAAAATTATGGTTCTGCATTTTCTCTTTAGATATCAATATCAACAGGTGTAGATATGAACAAATTCAACTTAAAATAAAATATTATGATTCGAGACTTTATTTACAATGGCTATGTGAAAGGTTACATAAAAAGGAAAACAGAAGATGAGAATCACTGCCACAGAGCTCTCTACTTCCTCTTAACCTCTATACGCCCACAAAGAGCCCCATTTTAGAGCAAGTGATCCATCACTTCTAGGCTCGGTTGTTATGCCTGATGGTTTATCCTGTATCTTATCCTGTAAACAGGTGAAACGCCACTACTGCATAGCATCTTGGTTTATGAGGTATAACTAAAAGAACTAGGCTTCTCCAACTTTTAAGGGCTTTACAAGTTTGAATGTTCTATAAGGAATTGATGTAAATAAGTTTTAAATTGTAACTCAGGCAGTTCTTTAAATTCAGATTTATATTTTTAAATTTAACTAGACTATTATCTGCATTAAAAAAATGTAATTCAAAAAATAACATAATTAAAAAAAAAACATTTTTAAGTACAACTACATATTGAGCTTTTAGATGAAACAAAATTCCTCAGGGGGTTTGCCCTTTAGCGGCAAACACGGGTGTCACAATCCCGAGGTTCCCCAGTGATCTGGTTTTCTCTTATGTAAAGATACATAGAGAAACAAACTTCCTACACTTAGTGAATGAATGTTTTACTAGTTCTGTGAAGCTTTTTTCATACTTTAATAACTAATAAATTTAAGAAGCTGCTGTCGTATTGTGCAATAAATTGCTCACAGTACATAACAAATATTTAATGCTGTTTCTCTTGAAAATGAGACATCACCTATTATTTTATACGCATTAATGTAACTAAAAGGCATGCTCCAACTACTGGTTGCTTAAAGAGCACTCTCTGTTAATAAAAGAGGTAGCTGTAAAATATATTCTGAATACTATTTATTTTTAATTTACGAAAATCTAAAGGTAATTTTCACAAATTTCTATTGAAAAATAATTTGCTAGTTTTTTTTTACTCAATTATTTCAGTAATAAAAAGAACAGCCTGTAACAAATAATATTTATCTTATTCTTACACTTGTTAAATGGAAATGCTGTTATAAATTAAAATTGACCGAAAATAAAATATTATTAAATTATGCGATGTGCCTCAAATTTTTTTATG